AAGATATGTGAAGTCCGCCAATCCGCATTGGGATCGTGTGGTGGATCATACCCTCTGAATTTTGCGCTGCAGTTGGACATCTGCAATTAAAAATTCATTCGCACGATTCATCCGGGATTGAACTCGGGCTGCTCCGGAATACTGAATTAAAAGCGAGCACATACACTGCGCCATCACTCACGGCAGACATGAAAAATGATAAATGTAATACTAGAAAGTCTTTGCCCATAAGTTGTATAATCTGATACCTAAGTACTTCGATTGATAACAGTTAAAAACGTTTGAAAATACTACGTGATTTTCCTGAATCTTTCCTTAGCCGATATTAAATATATTGTATCGGTAATGTAAACATTTTTTAAATAGATTTACGACGAATGCCGATCACCGATAAGCAGACGGCTGTTGACACAAATTCAAGGAAAATTATCATTAACATATTATGATATTCGCAGTAAATTTTTATTATTATTTTTGCGTGGCATTCTTTATTTTATGTTTTTATTTTTTTCTCTCCAGCTTTAAACAATATAATTGCCAGTACATTAATCGTAAGTTTTCTATTGATTGTCCGATTTGTAGTTTATTTTTAAACTTGTTTTGAATGTGAACGTTTAACTGCTACTTCAAAAAGTAATGTATCATTTCACTGGCTTGCGGTGTAAGTAACATTTATTATTTCTTGTTTACTGCACTAAAATTATTTGTTTTTTATCCGGATATATTTTTACCTTTACGGCTTTGAACTGATAGAGAAGGCGAATGTTCTACGATGTTTTTATAAAAAAAATGTATTAAGAATTACATTTATGGCTTTTATCCAGAAAAAGAACTGTTTTCGGACACAATTCTTTTGGCTTTTTTAGTTTAAATGATATAAGAGTTCACTTGAAATAGATTTTAAAGCAGTTTTAATGGCTTCAACAGTTTACTAATGGTCTTTAAATTTGACGAGCGAATGATAGTTAGAAAAGCAAAAACTTAATTGATCTGCAAGTACCTTAACAAAGAAACAAAATAGCCGAAATGAAGAAACGAAGAAACACCTTCGAATTATATAATAGAAACCAGTTTAATAATAGAATTTCATGTGCCTTAATATGAACCAGAGTTATTCAAAATCGTGAATATGTTTACAGCTGCCAATTGCTCACTTTCTGAAGTTACCTTATTTTTAAGTTAATAGCCTAAAAATAGATACAGTACAGGTAATATGTACGAAATGTGCGTCAAAATGTACAAAAACGCGACGTTTTACAAACATAAATTTCAAGTGGACAAACACTCTCTCACAAATAGTTGTACCGTGTAAGAATCGAACCCACAACCCCCAACGCCGAACCCAATACCTTGGCAACTGCGCCACGGAGTCATCAATAGTATGTGTAGGTAATATGCGTCGGAGAGAGAAGAAAAGAATGTATTGAAGGCGCCAAGAAGAAAAGGGGACGTTTTCTCGGATATTTGCAGAATTTGTGAACCCAGATAGGTACAGTAAGAACTGTGCCTCAAGATAGAAAATATTTACGACAATCCGCAATTCACGGCCGCGATAAAGCGTCACTAGCGTATACAAGCATTAACCGCCCAATGTACACAGAACTTGAAACAATCTCGAGTGCTATTAACAATTTTACTGCACTACATTTCCTACTTCGCGCGCTAGCATTTCAACCGCTGGCGTATATCAGAATAAGCGTCACGCTACGTCTACTACCGCTGCCGTCTAATATTATAATGAATTTACGTCACTGTGACTCCGTTCCAAACTTTCATATTTATTCGGCAATGAGATATGTAAACAATCGATTTTTAAAATTGGAACGTTACAGTTGTTATCACGAGCAGCAGTGCGGATATCGCGTGGACAATATCAATTACAAATAGGATATACAATTTTACTTTTAAATTTTAAAATTTTTGAATTTAAAAACAATCTTCTTATTTTTGTTGCCGTAATTGAGATAACGTTATTTGAATGGAAATATGGTTTAAAACTTTTGACGTTGCCAATTTCGAGAGAATTAGAGATTTTACATTAATTATTGTTGTAATGTCAACTTTCATTCTGGTAACAAGTTTTCTAGAAAACATTTGTAGAAACAGTTGACTCCGTTTCTACAAATGCTTTCAAAGCATCTTCTTTCACAGAGCTTTTTCAAGTCAGTTAATTTTCCAGGACACAGCACTTTCTATCCAGTAACCTCTCAATGGCGCCAGTTTTATATTGCGTGCAGCCTTTGCAGAATTTTTACAAATATCATACTCATAAACATTATACAAATATTGGTAGTTTAAAATATGAACTGGGACGCGAGGGGCCATTAATCAAAGAAGTAAAGGGCTATAGGATCTTAACTCAAAACAGAGGAGGTCTTGTTTCCTATAATGTGACTCTGCAAATTTATAGTACTATAATATATAAAATCCGACATTTCACATGCATCAACGTTATGAAAACTATGAAAACAGTAACATGCCTAACAAGGAAATTAAAAACTTTAAGCGTTAATTATATATAGCAAAGTTAAGCGAAAAATTAAGCGCCATTATCCTAACTAGATGGTGTCGGCTCAACGAGCGCGGCATGTCATTAATAGTATTCGCCAGGTTTTTTAGGACTGAATGCAAGCCTAAATAAAACATCAATATTTTAAAAAGTGTTTATTCCAAAGAGATAAATAAACACCCTAACCTAAATCCTTAACAATTGTCGGTGGGTCATACAAATACCTACTTGTCCGTTTGTAAATTGAACCCCAGACACCCACCCGGCACTCAACGCCACCTAGTCATCGAGTTGATGATAATACATTTATTTGTTTAATTAACTTTTATTCAGCGTCTACAAACATTGTTTAATGAAGATCACGGATTAGTAAAATAAAGGTATTTTACAGTCCGTGACAAAGATCAATAAAATTTGTATTATAGACATGTACACGTAATTTAAATAAGTTTCTTATTATGTCTCACATCGGAGTAGTTTTTATTTTATTTATTAATCACGAGCACATCATATCTTTAATAATTCATATTGATTTAGGTACTGTAAATTATAATAAAGCAATGTGTCATCTTAAAATTTTATTTTTATTTTAATTGCTACTTAAGTAAAAGTATAAAATCAGATTTATTGTTTTTCATTAAAAAAAATTATGTTAAATTACTTACAATATGAAACATACTATGCACGAACAGCTGTTAAAATTTCTCTTCTCGGTTAATAGATACGCAATCTTCTCGCCCCAACACCAAACGAAAACACAACACTCGTTTGTTTGTACTGTCTATTTTGTGTACAAATCACTATAAGATATATTGAAATTTTATAAAAATGGACAATAATGCACACGTGAAACAAAAATTAAATGAAGTATTGTATTTATAATAGTAGTTGGCTGCAAGACTAGCGAACGCACAGCGATCGCGGTAATAACGCGACACGCGTCTCACTCGCTATCTATTTCAAGACCATTTAAAAAATGTTATACTGAATGAAAGTTACTGAGAAGTGAACTAAAGACCTGTAGAATGAAATATGGAAAACAAAACAAACCAGTGATGAGTGATGGAATATGAATGATATATTTTGACATTTAAAAATGTTGCCATGAATAGTTAAATATATTTTAAACTACATGGACACTCATAGGAGTATTGTTTTTATTTGTTTTTTTTTTACAGTTTACTTAATTATATAACATATAAAAAACAAATATTTGTTTTATTTTGACGGATCCAATTTTGTTAAATATTAATATGATACTGGCAGTATTTTAATTTCATATTATATTTTTATAGTTATTTAATTAAAACCGGTGAATCCGTATAAACCATTAATTTGTAATTACAGATTTGACAATGTTTCCAGATTTTTTCACATAGGGTAACATTACCGACATTACGTCCATTTTCTATCATTTTGCAAACTCAAAAAAAACGACGGTGGAAAAGAATTCCTTGTGTCGGTTAAAATATTATTTCTTGCCGTTAGATGATGTGAGCAGTTCATGTTTTATGTGCTTTAAATTTAATTTCCGTAGTTTTAAAAACTGACAAGAAGACGGGCGGCATAATAACAGTAAGTTTAAAGACATTTGAGGCATTTTGTTTGTATTGCAGATAGAAAGTAACCGTTGTCGGGTCTTCGTTTGATGTATACATGCTCCAGTTTCATTTTAAACTTATAAATGAATGGCTATAAATGAACAAGCTCCTAAATTGAGTATATTACTCTGTATATGTCTGATGGTAGCCATTAGTAATATGAAAGGAAGACAACGTTGAATCATCATTGTCTTAATATTTGCGTCTTCTAAATTTTTCTCAAGAATCACTTGAAAACTAAATTTTGAAAGTAAACTGTTAATTTGTGCAAATTAAATACTTATATGAATACTAACAAAGGTGTTACATATTCTAAAACATATTATATTTAAATAAATATTTTACGGATTAAACGTTCAATAATTTATCTATAAATATTTCATAGCTTTTTTTCTTTTGTTATTGTTTAACAACAAAACACATTCTCAATAAGACATACATTTGTGACCTTGCATAGGAAATTCTTAAAGGTCAACTCAATATATGCACTGCAAAAATTTCCCTCAGGGTTATCCAGATTCCTTTTATGTAAATAATATATGGAAGTCAAAGTCATTTCATTACATCCTGATTAATACATTGCCTATTATGGCTTTGCCTGCTTTAATCTCTACAATATTTTCTCTAGACGTTTCATTGACCTGTGCTGACCTTTTAATGCAATTTATTTTTAATGAATGTGTGTAATGTTCATATTTTAAATGTCTGTAAAAGTTTTAAAATTATTTTAAAACTTTTACTTTTACGTTTTCATATATGGATTAATTAGTCCCTAAACTACTTTTATCAAATTCTACCACCTAAAATCAGTTAAAAGATGAGTACCATTGTATGATTTGAATGAATGTTGTTTTTTCCAACTAAACAGAATTGAAAACTGAGCACTGACAATGGAGGATGCAAATGAATATAAAAAGCTGCCAACAGAGGAGAAATGTGTTCATAAGTTGTGGAAAGCTAGAGTTGCAGGTTATGAGGAGGCGATTAAACTATTTAATACAATTGATGATGAGAAATCACCAGAATGGAGTAAATACTTGGGGCTCATAAAGAAATTTGTCACAGATAGTAATGCCATGGCTCAAGAGAAGGGTAAGTCTAGTTTACTATAATAATAGAACATAGGTATAATTAATTCACTGTCTTGGAAAGATGCTACTCTTGAGGCATGAATAATAACAAACACAATTCTAGATAGAGTAATCTTAATGGTTGAAAGACTTATTAACTAATAGACAACCTAAGCAGACTGTTCGAAATTTAAAGTTTTTTATAGTGCTAATCTCTGCACTATAAAAAAACTGATTAAACATTAAAACTTGTAGAAAGAGTACGAAAAGATTGTCACCACTGTGGGAATTGAACCCACGTCTTCGGCATTCGTGGCCTGACTCTTTAGCCACTAAGATAAATGGCTCATTGCCACATAGACGAAAATAATAATGTCTTTTATCTATATTGTTATTTAGCATTCGAAGAAAAGTTAAAAAAAAGCAACATGTTTGAAATTGTTAGATCTGGTAGTCTTCTATCTGCCACTACCACTTTTTAACAATAAATAAGTCTTGGTGTAAGAACTTATTTTTTGTTGTTGATAACTTATTAACTGATTATATATTTGGAGACTTAGTTCTTGTAAGATTAATTTAAAATTTATGTTGAACCAAGCCATGTTAACAATTTGCACAATGTCGATTGCAGTAATCCCTGATTATGATTATCTTTATAGCTGTAATTACTAGGCCAAAGCATTTATTTTTTTAATGTTATTTTTAGTGTTATTTAGAAATTGCTTATATGTCTTTCTTCATTTAATTCAACTTGCAAAGCTATGCTCTAAATCAATATTTTCTTATAATAAATATTCAAATGTGATAAGATTTGCTGTGATTGTTATGAAGTAGATATTTGAAATTCAAAATTTCTTGGCATTCTGTTTTGCTTTCAGATATCAATGGACTTAAAGAAATATATTCTTTAAGCCATGCTGTATGCAGCACTAGATCTGCACTTTTATAATTATAATTTTAATATTATTAACAATAATTGCTTATTTGTCTATATGACCAAAGTTTTTATAATATATTTAATTATATAAATGATGGGAAAACAAATTTCAAACTATTGCAAATTCTAAGTTATGGTAGTTTACTATTTGCAGTAGTTTCAAATTTTAATAGAGTTCTTAACTCCTATGCATATGTAGGTATGCCAATTTTTAATTTAGTTTTTAGCTATATTTCGCTGATAGGAAATTTGTTTATATAACAGAATATTGCTTGCCAGATGCAGTTCATCGAATATCTATATAATATGTATCTAAAACAAGTCTTCCATGTGATTACACTTAATGATTAAAATTGAAAACAAAAAGATGTGTATTATTTATTATTTCAAAGGATTTTGTGCAATAAACAATTTTTTTTTCATCTATGTACAACAATCTATGTAAATGTAAATATGGCACTGTCAATATTTGAAGCAATGTTTTAATTCCTTACATGTTTATGTAACATGTAACAGTGTATGTATAAACTGCTGGAAAACAAACTGTCTGCTTCATAACAAATTATATGGGTGATAATTTGAATAAAATTACCCAATTATAGTCAATTTCTATAACTCCATAATTTTGTCCATATAATTGTTTTCTATGTCTTCTTCGGACTATAATTAATAGAAATGAAATAATGATAATAATAGAAACTATTCATTTGTTGGAAAATGCTCTCACTTTAGTAATTATATAACATATTTTTTGTTTTAATGAGACTTTCTTTACTGGAAAATTTTTCTGTCAAACTATGGAGCATTTTAAATAAATAAGAAAAATTAAATTAACAACAGGTCTGGAGGCTGCATTGGTGTTTGTAGAAAATTGTGGCCATGCAGGTAAAACTACAGGAGAAGTTATGTCTGGAATTGTCGCTAAATGTATTGCTGCTCCCAAAACAAAAACGAAAGATCTTGCTCTGCAGGTGAATACCATGTCTTATGATTTATTTCAAGTATAGTTCAAGTAAATCAAGCTTAAGGTATAAAAAATTATTAAATTTTATATGTTAGGTGTTAGTTTTGTTTTGAATGAATTTTTAATATTATTATGTTGTTATGCCTTTTTGAAATAACAATAACCTTTTTAGGTCACACTTATGTATATTGAAATTGAAAAACATGAAATTGTTGAAGAAGAACTTTTAAAAGGAATGGAGCAGAAGAACCCAAAAGTGGTTGCCGCCTGCATAGTTGCACTTACTACAGCTCTAAAACAGTTTGGGAATAAAGTAATAGCTATTAAACCGATGGTTAAAAAGATACCAATCTTACTAGCCGACAGAGACAAGACCGTCAGAGATGAAATGAAAGCATTGGTTATTGAAATGCATCGGTAAGTTTACTAAACAACTCATATGTTTTTATGAGAACATCATGAAACACATCTAATCAAATATTTAAATTACTCAATGAAAAAGCAGTTTGTAAAGAAAATATTGGGTGATATAAAACTAATTTATGCAAAGAAAAATATCTTTACACGCATAAAACTACTCATGTGTAGTACACATAGAAAAGAAAATTGCAATGAAACATTTCGAGATTTGCAATTTCCACCTGAATGATTAAGCAGTAACAATCACACGCGATTTGAGTTGGTGTTAGTAGGTTAACATTGCATGGTATAACTATGTGTATCATTTAACTGACCAACATGCTAATTGATAATAAAAAATAAAGTTTAGTCTTTGGGGACATATAAAATTATTAAAAAAACCATCTCTCATTTCACTGGTGTAACAAATTGTGCGTCAGTCTTCAATTCTTAAATCTGAAAATCAAAAATGTGGCACCTTTACTTCCACAGAAATTGTGGAGATATATCCATAGTTCACCAAGTTTAATTTAAAATTTATTGAGCTTGTCTCCCTTAACTGTAGTAGGGTCACGCAACGGTGTTCGCTGTTGCGCGAATGGGCAGGTACGTGGGGGAAGTACCACAATCTCACAGTAGACCGACATTGTGTTTCGTCTGGTGAGGGAGGTAGCTGGGACCCAAAAGGTGGAAACTCATCTGTCATTGGGCGGTAATCACTAAAGCAGGTGAACTTGCTTGGCTAGCACAGAATATTAGAGTTGATCCACTCCCCGTACTGTATGTATCTAAATTTAGAAAAATGAATGTTTTATTTATTTAATTGCCTTATCTCTCAGTTGGATAGGCCCTGCGATAGAGCCGCACATAGCTAGCCTCCAGGCTGTGGTCCAGCAAGAGTTGAGGGAGGCGTTCGGCAGCGGAGGGGTCGCCCAGCCCACCAGATATCTCCGTTCGCAACAGAATAAAATACGCGACTTGCCAACTTCAGACGCCACTGACGGTAACTTGCACGATTAACTATTTTATTATTATAATAGTAAAGTAAAGTAACATCCTATGAATGTCCCCCTGCTGGACAAAGGTGCATTAGGGTATAGTCTACCACGTGGCCCCGCTGCGAACTGGCGGACTTCACATATCTTCTTAATTTTTTTTTTGTTATTTCTTTGAAAAATTTAGGTTTCATCGCGATGTTTTCCTTGATCACTGAACACGTGATAAGTCAGCACTTAAAATTAACAATCCATTGCTGCCAGCACCTGGGTTCAGTCAGGTTCATCGAGTGTATTTAATTGAAAGCGAGCGTCCGGAGAGCTATTGGCTAGTGGCTGTATTATTATAATAATCAGTTTAAATTATGTTTCATGAACATTTACTCACGAATTTGCTGTTGCTACTGACAAGCTGAAAATTGAGCTTTTGTTCTGTTTACGAGCTACCTCCATTTCGAATAAAAAAATTTGAAATTGTTCGTTTCATTCCGAATTAAAATTTTTGAAATCGAAGGTACGAGTTTATGGCATGAACAGAGGACAGCATACACATAAAACTTTTTGTATGTAATATAAGTATATGTAAGACCATACAAGATGATGTAAGCGAACCAGTAGCATTTAATTATAAGTTGAATTCCAAAATCAGTTACTATTAATTCAAGTTATACTTGGGATTCAGTTAGCTTCATACCTAAAGCGCAGGTTGAGTTTTGGGCACTCATTTAATGACATTTAATGTTCCTTTTGACTTGATGGAGTTTATTCCACCTTAGGGGGAGGCGATGACGAAGACGCGGAAACTGGTGGCGGTGAATCCGCTGACATGGACCCTTACGACCTACTGGACCCCGTGGAGATACTGTCGAAGTTGCCAAAAGACTTCTACGATAAACTCGACGCGAAAAAATGGAAGGAGCGAAAAGAGGCTCTTGATGCTCTCGAATCACTGTTGAAGACTGCACCAAAGTTGGAGCCCGGAGACTATGGCGATCTAGTCAGAGCCTTAAAGAAGGTATGGTCCCGATAAAAAAAAATGTAGAAATGAATTGTTTGATATTGAAATTATCTAGATATAAACTGAGCTCAGTCTGAACAGTATTTTTAGATGCAAATAATATGTGAAAGTTATTTTTTTAATCTTTTTCTTTCCATCCAGTATGTTAGTTTCGTTGTGTTATTTAAATGTCGGATTATTAAGACATACAATATTATAAAAGCAGATTTGGGTACTACAGTCTATGCAACCTCAAATGCCATATATCTCCACTATATTATAGTTTTGTATGAGCAGTACATATTATGTATGCAATATATTATTCTGTCTTCTGTGTCTAGAACTCAAAAGGGTCCGACTATTGAAATTTGTAACGATATGGACGAAATGTTTTTCGCTTCTGCTGGATCCAATTCACGTCTTCTGGCGCTTTAACCACTAAGATGATACGGCTGATTGCCACACTGACGAAAATCTCAACGTAATTTATCTACATTGTTTTTTCGCATTTTAAGCAATATTTGCCCCATCTAGTCATAAATCCTTTATTGTTCCAACGATATTTGGAAGGAGAGATGTCGCCTTTGCTGTAGGAAATTTAACTTTTAATAGTGCTAAACAAGATTTTTATAAAAAATGGACGAAAAGGGCTTGAATTCTGTTCCACCTGGTGCATATGAACTGTAAAGGTGAATGCTAATGCTTTAATTCATTTTTGTAAACATTAAAACTTGTAGAAAAAATGGACTAAAAGGGCGTCACTACTGTGACACCTAAACTATAAGGCCAATTATTAATGCTCAGTTCATTTTTGTCTCGGAGTCGTCACCGGCTTCACAGGTCTGAGGTGTTCAATGATATTGTGTACAAATACGAGGTAGAATGGACACTAGCACAAACGGCAACTGAGGCACTCAAATTACACCAATTGGTTTAGTTAGATTACAATTCTAGAGACTGCTATGTTTCCGTAGTAGTCTTCCGTAGTCTTTCCGTATCCAACTTTCTATATCATCTGTCACATTCACTCATATACGTCATACAATCTAAAGCGGAACAAATTTTAAACGCCGCGCTGTGCGGACATTAGTCTATATTAATAAACATCATCGGAGGTGAGTACGGGTTGTTGATTGCGGTCATCTTCCAGGTGATATCGAAGGACACGAACGTGATGCTGGTGGCGCTCGGCGGGCGGCTGCTGGGCGTGGTCGCGGCCGGCTTGAGGGGCAAGTTCCAGCCGTACGCGGTCTCCTGCGTTCAGACCGTCCTCGAGAAGTTCAAGGAGAGGAAGGCCAACGTGGTAGCGGCGCTGCGCGACGCCATCGACGCCATATACCCATGCGTTAGTATCTATGTGGCCGTTCCACGCAAAATACAACGGCCATTGCAACTAAGAAGAGCTATGTAGTCCGCCCTTCGGAGCTATATAGTCTCCTCGAGCCCACCACCCTAATAAAGTTGACGGTCGACGAAGAGCTAAGAATCTAGGTTTCCTCAGTCGCCAATTTTGGTCATTCCAGCTCTTGACTTCTATTATTGCACACGACATCACATTCACAAATTATGTAAAGCGGTGTCTCCTCGTCATCAAGGCCTCCTTTGTACAGAGGGTATTAGGGCATAGTCCACCACGCGGCCTTACTGCGAAATTGCAGACTTTACATATCTTCTTATTGTTTTTATTGTTTTCCTTCACTGCCGAGCATGTGATAAGTCAGCACTTAAAATTAACAATTTCATCAGTGGCGGCACCGGGGATGGAATTCAGGTTGCTCCAGTATATAGAATAAAACGCGAGCGTCAAGAGAATGAGCTATCGCTGCTTAATAAGTGTACTTTTATACATAAAGCAGATAGAGCAGGTTTTGATTAAAAAAAAACACTTCCATTCCACAGACCAATCTCGAGGCGATAATGGAGGACATGCTGGCGGCATTCGACAACAAGAACCCGTCGATAAAGGCTGAAAGCGCGCTGTTCCTCGCGCGCGCTTTGTGCCACACGCAGCCGACGGCCTTCGGGAAGAAGCTCATCAAGGCCTATGTGGCAGCCCTGCTGAAGCTACTGGAGAGCGCAGGTGGGGGCTGGCTCCTCACTCTTTTTGTGTTATAGTTTTTTTATGTGGGATGATGGCAAGTTAGGTGGCAGTTCATCTGATTTTAAATGATAGCCGCCGCCCATAGACATATGCTACACCCGTAGGGTTGCAGGTGCGTTGCCACCTTTTAATGAAGTGGCGTCCGGCTACTTCACTCACCAGACGAAAAGCAGAAATATAACACTTCCACTTCACGCCGGTCTTCTGTAAGTTCGTGGTACTTCCTATTGGTGCAACAGCAAACTTTTGCGCCGCATACCACAGGTGAAACTATTAAACAAGCAGGCGACCTGATGAGAACTTACCCCTGCCCATGAACTATTTTTTTATGAAAAAACATTACCCCTGCTGTAGGATAATATTATCTTTTTGTTTCTTAAGGACATTTTACATATTATATAAATTTCATGTGGACAATTTCCTAGATCTGAAACAATTATGTATCTATGGTTAACACAAATAGCTGTCAATATAGCTATGTGATCTACTTAAGCATATTGATAGGTGTCGCGATGAAGTCAATATGGGTTGTATGTCAGATCGGCTATCTTATCGTCTCTGGTTCGAATCACAGCCTTGTGTGATTATTTTTTAACTGACTTTTGTTTTTCGGATTTCTTTCGCGAAAACCTCTTATCTTGCATTTGTGGTGCATGGTTACAGTGTTCATCACGTAGTTCTAGACTAAATTTTATAATAATAACAGCATTAGCTTGTCTACGGTATTGAGAATTGGATCAGTTTCATCATTGGTTTGTTTATATTATTGCCCAACGCCTTTTAAGCCAAACAAAATATACTGAGTTAGTGATTTTGCACTTTACAGCCTACATTATAAGGTGTATTTTAATGTAGTAGCCCATCGCCATGTATTAAATGCAAGTGTAAACTATATTTCCATAAAATAACACGAAATGATGTCATCCGTTTTATGTAAGCCTCACTGCGTCGAGTTATTCCAATCACTCATTGTTACTGCATATATTTTTTATATACAATTATTAAATTTAATACTTTGCTTTGAATTAATATTTTTCATACATTCGTGAAGGTCACATTATTTCATACTGGGGTGTATAGTTCATGTCCGTACTGCAACTATTGTAACTAACCAGTTAAGGCAAGAACCCAGCTTTCTCATTGTTCGCTACATTATATATAATAATAAATAATTAAACGACTTACACTAATTATCTGCATAATTTCTAAAGTGTAAGATGAGTACTGAGTTTACTAAGGATTACAGATGGAGGCTTACTTAGGGACAAGTAATATACAAGGAGGTCCTTTTTGACCCCTTCTTCGTCCTTTATGGTTATATTTTGACTGTGGTATTGAGAACCGCGCTTATATCGCATTAAAATTATAGCCTTATAGCTAGAAATTGGTAATTTTCAAATACAAATGACGTTACACAGTGATAAAATAAAACAAAAGTCATTGTTTAGCGGCGACTCCTTAATCTCCGTACTAAAACCCATCGATTCGTGACTGATCGGTCACGCCAACCAATTTTTTTCCCGCCGGTCATTGTTCGAATAATTCGAAACGAAAGTGTTTGCCGTTTTTCTAGAGCATTAAGGATGTATATAACAGGTCTTCCGGTAATGTAACGTTTTGTGGGATGGTCGTTTGGTAGACTTAAAAAAAGATTTCTTTTACATTATTACAGGTAAAATCTAAGCCGTCAAATTGTTGGTTTATAGTAGAAACGGCGCTAACCTATTATTTTTTTGAATATCATATATAAAGTAATCACAAAATAAGGGTAAATAGAAGCAAAACAGAAGCTTTCATTTTATCCTCACACACTAGAGGGATTTCGATATAGCGTGGAATATTTTTCACTGAAAAACGAAAATACGATGTTCGTCATGAGCATATATTCCCTCGACCTCGACTCAAGCCGAGCTTTCAACCTGTGTGCTCTTGGAGACTTCGTTAAACTATATTTTGCCACCTACTATTTAGTACTGTTTTGGTTATTTTGAACATAAGAAGTAATCTATTAATGTGCGATACTACTTTATGCGGCGTTCCACCTCACTCATCAAATAAAACTGAAAAATATGAATATGAAGTCTCTGGAATACATCCCCGGTTCAATCGACACATTAGTAAAATTCCGTAGCTAAATATATTTTTTTTATTATTTTTTAAACATTGCCCTTACTTTAGGATAACTTTATCCTTTATCCTGTAAGGACGTTTTACAAACATAAATTTCACGTGGACAAACACCCAGATGCGAAACAACTATCTGTGGGTCACACAAATAGTTGTCCCGTGTGGGAATTGAACCCACGACCCCCGACGCCGACAAGACAATACCGTGGCCACTGCGCCACGGAGTCACAAATATAATATTAAATATTCGATATATTCCTGTCCCAAAGATCCCGCAGTGCGCGACGCCGCCGCCGAGGCGCTCGGAACTGCTACCAAGCTGGTCGGCGAGAAGAACATCGCTCCGCACATCGGGAAACTGGACAATTTGAAGGAGCAGAAAATTAAGGAGTTCGCCGATAAGGTACATTTTGGGACTTTATTTCTTATGAGAGACTGCGGCAAAGAACAAGCTGTTCGCTGTATAGTCAGTGAAATCGCAACCAATAGTCAGCCGCAACAACAAGGAAATACCCTGATTAGCCGTGTCTGTAATAAGTATGTATTTATAAAAAAAAAGTACATTTAAGTATGTTTATCAGTTACCTAGTAACTATAGTTGTACTATAGTTACTAGGTACCTGATACTGACTGCTTTGCTTAGTGTGATACTAGATAACGTTGTGTAAAAATATGTACCGAAAATATTTATTATTATTTAAAAATATCTTTATTCAAATAGACACTTGCGTATTCTTATGAAACGTCAAATTTTACATAATAAATGATACATAAGTTCGTAAGTAAGTTACCACCGCTTCGAACGGGAATTTTTTATTTGCCTTAAACTCTCTCACCCCTTTCTTCACTTCACTACATAGTATAGAACAAAGTCGTCCCGCTGTTTGTCTGTCCCTTTTTCTTAGAGATTCTTAGAACTTTAAAACTACGCAACGGATCTTGATGCGATTTGTTTTACTAGATAGAGCTAGATTACAGGAAGGTTTATATATATAATACGCAGGTCGCCAGTTTGTTTATATTAACCTTATGAATCTGCACTTGCACTTCAGGCCGTCATCCAAGTGAAAGTGGCCGCCCCCAAGAAGGAGGTGAAAGCGAAGGGAGCTCCCGCTCCGGGCAAGGGGGACGGGAAGCCGAGCGCCGGCTCCGCCCAGCCCAAGCCGGTGAGGAGGCCCGCCACTGGCAAGAGGCCGGCGGCCGGCGCCAAGAAGGCCTCGGCGAGGGCGCAGCCCAGCCCGCCCAGGGAGCAGGAGCTCTCCCAGGAGGAGGTGGACGCCAGGGCGGAGGGGCTGTTCGCCGCCGATGTCCTCTCGGGTGTGTACCGAACGAACAGACTCGTCATTACTCACCATTACGAGATCGTCCAGCGTTGCAAGGACGTTCTACATAATATACCTACAGCATGGCGTTACAACCGCGACAATAAATGAAAACACTCCTTACGCTACTTGCCAATAATCATGAAAAAGCATACTTAAAAAGAATTATTTTCAAACAAAGTAATAAAATAAAATCGATCGAAAATCGTCGAATTACAAGTCTCTCCTTCTAACAGTATGTTTCATTTCTTTTAAATTCACTAATCTATGAGTAAACTATGAGTAATTACTTTGAGATTCGTGATTTGTTGCACTCTGTGGGGGAGGTCTATGTTCAGTAGTGGACTCGAACAGGTGGGTTAAATGATGGTGATGAATTACTTGAAATTGTCCAGAGACACGGAAAAAGCGTCAATCCATCCAAATCCAACCTTCTAGTATTCTGTAGTGGGTCTTACGAACTGAATGAATTTAAATGCAATGCGTATAAGTTGAATAAATACGCCAATTCATCGATAGAACCATTTCGTTTCCGTTGGCACTTCGGAATGAAGAGTATATAAAAAACTTAATACCTATATTATGAACAAATATGAAGTCAATCCATCAATTATTTTTTAAATTTTGTGGACAGGTACATACAGAAGCTAAACTTTTATATGTAAAGATACTTCAGCCATACCCTGATTTTTAACTTATTTTGTAGCATTTATTATTTTACCCACTGACATGCCTTCTTGCTGACCACTGAAAGATGAATGTCAAAAGAATAAAGTACATTTAACAACAATCTATTTGTTGTTTACAGGCCTTGGCGACAGCAATTGGAAGAACCGCCTAACGGCCGTGCAAGCGTTGCACTCTACAATCCAGGGGCTGAGCACTGATGATGCAACTGCTCAAGTGCTGTACCGAACCCTCAACAAGAAGCCGGGCCTCAAAGACACCAACGTGCAGGTGCTGAAAGCACGCTTGGAGGCCTGCAAGTACATCACTGAAAACTTCCCAGTGTCCACGTGAGTACATGCCTTCATACGAAACTATTGTTAATACATAAAACGGTATACATAATTATAATTTAAGTTTAATAGGTATATAGTTGTAATTTTTATTCATAACCATGATTATTATTTTTGAACTTTACTGCAGCGCTCATACGAATTACGAGATCTTTTTTAAATTTTACATGGAATATTTTACATGTGTAGATTAATGGAAAATTACATAATTATTAATCTTTGTATGGAGATGATAAATGATGAATGATCTATAATTTCATGTGGTTCATATAACAGAATTAAATTACTCCAGTAGGTAACTAGATAGTAGTAAAATGCAGAGAGAGAAGACCAAATTATGTGTTGCCTTCCTTAGGACCGCGGCAGATTTTGTGCTTCAAGACGTTGTAGCAAAGCTTGGCGAGAGCTCCTGCCTATCAATATCCGCCGATTGCCTCACTTGCCTCGCAGAAGGATGTGGGCTGGAGCACGTGCTCAATGAAGGCCTAACATATGCGATGGATACGCAGAAGAATCCCAAAGTGCAGTCGGAGATGTTTAACTGGATGTCGGTCGCGATTAAAGAATTTGGATTTACGTGAGTTGTCATTGTTTACTTTACATTGTCGAAAATATATTGACATTCAAAACTTACCATTTGAATGATTAAATTAAAGAAAAATTTAAAGACCGTCGGGTGGCAGATGCATTGTCATCTTATGATAAATTGGGTCCGGCTACCACACACGCCAGATGAAACACAAAGTATAACACTTCCACTTTACGCAGATAATTCTTCGAGTTCACGGTACTTCTGCGAACGGACCTGCCCAATCGTGCAACAGCGGAGACTGTTGCATAGCCCAAGCACAGTTCAGAATTAATGTAGTACATTATGTTAACAATAGGATACACGTAGATATAAGTTTACCTACGCTATATGTGATTGCAGGATGAACGTCAAATCGATTATCGCACACTCGAAGAAAGCCCTGTCGGCGACGAACCCGAACGTCAGAACCTCCACCATCAACTTCCTCGGCATTCTGTCTCTCTACGTCGGCCCGTCCCTTATAAACCACTTCGACGGTGAAAAAGCCGCTACCAAGCAACTGGTCAGTCTAGAGCTGGACAAATACGCTAATAGCACGCCGCCCACGCCCACTAGACAAATGGGAACAGTCAGTAAGGTGAGTAATGATTAATTATATTTTTTGTCCCTTTATAAACATATTTCTTTTTCAGTATTTTTTAAACATTGCCCTCGCTTTAGGATAAACGTTATCCTGTGTTGTGAGGACGTTTTTACAAACATAATTTCACGAAACAGCTATCTGTGGGTCGCACAAATAGTTGTCCCGTGTGGGAATCGAACCCACGACCCCCGACGCCGCGACGCGCGTTTCACCTTTAGCGACAACCGCCGCCCATAGACATATGCTACACCCGTAGGGTTGCAGGTGCGTTGCCACCTTTTAATTAAGTGGGTACCTCACTTACCAAAAGGAACGCAAAATTATAACATGCTTCACGACGGTCTACTGTGAGTTAGCTGTTTATTATTTAAATGATATTTATTGTTACTATATCTTTTTATCTATATCTATCGACTTTTGATTACGTGAATTGATAAAATAATATTGTCCCCTGATTATGATGCAAAAAGATAACTGTTAGCAAAGATAACTGTGCAATTGATATGCAGCAAGATAAACGTCAAGTAACATACTCGTAACCACGCATACCTATTTTTTCCTCAATAAAATTGAATCATTAAAACTTTATTATGCTTGTGAATATTTTCTATTATTATTATTTATAGTACCTTTATGACCGACCTTTTTTTTTCTAACAAAAGAAGAAACCTGAGAGAAAAAAAGAAAGAAAATCATCTGGACTGAACTGGAGCCTTGCTAGTTTCGGGACCGACCGCACGGGCTATTAATGATGTTGTATATTCTAATGATATTGCAGCAGTTTTTTTGCCTGAAAACACGGATAAAACGAAGTTTTTTAAAAATGAAACATAGCTAGATTCCCGAAACCCCTCCAACGCCGGGTTTATGCCCCTGGGTTAATGAGTAAATGTGCCCAGTGAATCATTAGGGTATTTATTTGTTTATGTACTAGCTCATGCCAATGCGGAAGAAAGTTTCTCGAGTGCCAGCCTCGTACGGGATATAGCAGTGTAGGACGACCTCCCACTTATGCCCGGTTCCTACATTGAACGAACGGCCGTTAGTTACTTAGCTTCGTAACTTTCATAACGACTTCTTGATAAAAGGCGTGTACGCCCGGTTCATATATTAACAAAACGATGTGTTTACCTTACGAGCCCTTGCATTACCTACGGAAAGTGAGTTACTAGCGTTCCTTTAATCTACAAGTCGTTATGAAGATACGAAGCTGTGTAACTAACGACCGTTCGTTGAATATAGGAACCGGGCATAAATGGAGTGACGACCTGTGCAAATGTTCGGGAGGTCGATGGATGCAGGTGGCTCATAAACTCAGTGCGCGTTGTTAAATTTCAGTCCGCAAGCAAGGGTTCCGTGGGCGACGAGATCGAGGAGGGCTACGAGGATGCGGCCGAGGAGGAGCCCGCCGCCGTGGAGGACAACAGGCCGCGCACTGACATCGCGCCGCTCATCACCGACGCGCTGGTGGCCGAGATCAACGACAAGAACTGGAAGGTAGGCCTTTGGCTCACCTTATGCTCGGAGATTATATTTAAAAAAAAAGATTTCCCTTACCCAACGACAAGAACTGGAAGGTAGGCCTTTGGCTCACCTTATGCTCGGAGATTATATTTAAAAAAAAAGATTTCCCTTACCCAGTGCCTTCGCAATGCTTGAGTGGTCACGTCACCCACGTCACGTGGCACGTCTTATGCTGTGCCCTTTGTGTGTGCTAGGTGCATTGCTGCTATTATTACTTGGCTCTGGAGTTCTTCACTACATAATGTAAAAGAAAGTTGTCCCGCTGTCTGTCTGTCCCTCCCTATGTATGCTTAGATCTTTAAAACTACGCAACGGATCTTGATGCGGTTTTTTTACTAGATAGAATGATACAAGAGGAAGGTTTATATGTATAATACATCGCATAGCCGTGCGAAGCCGAGGCGGGTCGCTAGTTCATTATAAAAGTATGTAAAAATGCGATTGCCGCGTTTCCAACCTTCCCTTACGGAAGCTCTTTTGAAATCGTAAGATATCAGTCTCGAAATAACGGTGGTGACAAGTGATACTTTTCCTTAGTCTGCCTTAAAACATTGTGTAGCTGAATTCGTAGAAATTTTGCAACAACATTACAAATATGTCAAAGCTAGTAAACATTTCATTCAAACTCTAATAACATAATTTTTTTGGTATTAATGACTTATTATTTTAATACGAATTATCGTGTTTGATTTCCCTCGTCCGTCCCCTCACCATAAAGGCTCTGTAAGTATTCGAAACGAGGGAAGGTGAGATTTAAGGGAATAAGACACGTAAAAAATTGGCAGATAAAACAACTTGTACGTAATACATATATTATTTGCAGGTTCGAAACGAAGCTCTCGACAAATTAAAAGCATTAATCACGAACTCTGCGCCGATAAAACCGTCGCTGGGTGAACTACCAGCAGCCTTGGGCGCGAGATTATTGGATTCGAACTCGAAACTTGCGCAGAGCGCACTGCACATATGTGAAGCCCTCGCCACCGCAATGGGATCCAAATCGAAACAGCATGTCCGTACTTTCTTCCCGTCTTTCTTCCAAGGTACCTATATCACATTACTTAAATTACCTTTTAAAAACATATGAAATTGGGAGAATTAACTTATTTGTTATATTATGAAATGTTGAAACTGAATTATATTTTTCACCTTGTGTTGTTATTTTTTCTTATAGCAAATAAACAAATAATAATGGTAATAAAAACTATATTACCATTAGTAATATAGTATAATAAGTAATGATAGCAAAGTAATGAACCAATATTCAGTATGAATAATTGTACATACTGAATATTGGTTCATTACTTTCTATATGGTACTTATATAGGTAAGTTGTCTGTAATCAATAATAATAATAACTAAAGCGTGTGTCAAAGTCAAATTGATGCGGTTCAATTAACTTTGGATTGTAGGTAAATTTCAAAAAGTTGATATTACTTGCCATGTTCCAAGCGTGCCTAAAGGAGAGTAACTTGGAAAGCATAATAAGATGTCGGCTACTTGTCGCAGCGTTCGGCGACAGCAAGCAGTGGATCCGCACGGCGGCGGTGTCGTGCGTGGAGGCGTGGTGCCGCGAGGCGGGCGCGCACACGCCCTTCGAGGGCGAGATGGTCTTCGACGCGCTCAAGTCCGGCTCGCCCGTGCTGCGCGCCACGCTGCTGCAGTGGCTCGCCGACCACCTGCCCAACGGTGAGCCTGAGAGATTATCGCCGCCCATTTGTATCCACGACGGAGGCGCCTTCAATCGGAGTTTTTATATCGTATTTATAACTAGCTGCTGCCCGCGACTACGTCTGCGTAGAATAGGCTGGCGTTACATTCAGACAGATATATTGCTATAAATAATATAAATTATAGCCTATGTTTTATTCTGATGTATAAGCTATATTATTGTAAAGTTTCACTAAAATCCATTCTGCGTAAAAGAGTAACAAATATCCATCCATACATACAATCTCTCGCCTTTATAATATTAGTAAGGAAGTAATGATATATTCATATCAGACCGTGTATGTCTAAAAAAACCGCTGGGTTTCTTTCGCCAGTTCTTCTCAGTACAGTGGTTTTCTTTTTCGAACCGGTCGTAGTATTTTGACTATCAATAAGTGAGTGTAATGCTCCTATATTAATCAAAGATATTTGAATTTAGAAATTTTGGAGCCGTCGTAAACGATCACATAATATGGGAGGACCAGTGTCGGCTGTGTGCGCATTACTAAGTGCGCGTTATCGGAGATTTGGGCACTCCCAAGTGCAAGAGTTATACTTGCGTTGCTTATAGGCCCCGGTTATCTCATTCATCGAGACACGAACGGGCTGACGTCTGATGAGCTCTCGCTGTCTGCTCCCTTCGCGACTTTCGGCTGAGGAGGGAGCAGGCAGGGAGCTTCAAGATAACTGTTTGTTAATTGTTGTTAATTGTTGGCAGTGCCGCCGAAGTCGTTCCCGCGCGAGGAGCTGTCGCTGTGCGTGCCGCTGCTGTACGCGTGCCTGGAGGACCGCGCGGCGGACGTGCGCAAGGCGGCCGCCGACTGCGTGCTGCCCGTCATGCTGCACCTCGGCTACGAGCCCATGCACAAGCAGCTCGACAAGCTCAAGGTGACGCTGTTGCGCCTGTCCCTGTTGCTCCCGCGCACAATATATTGCCGTCACGCTCGCGCTGACACTCGGCTACGGGCCCATGCATGACCGCCGCGAGAGACGTTGTTGCCTGTCTCTGTTGTTGCCGCGCAAATGTATTGCCGTCACGCTCGGCACCGATGCTCGACTACGAGCCCATGCATAATCGCCGCGTGAAACGTTGCTGCCTGTATCTGTATTTTACTATTCTTCTACTAAAAATCAGAAATTTGTGTTGACTGGTCATAAAAAAATAGCGATTCCCGTAATATCTAGTTCCATACTTTTATTTACATTTATTTGTAATTGTTCACATATCCTTTTTTTTTTAACTGGTACTATATTGACCAGTTTATCTTATATATTCTGTAAGCTTTTTTACTCCACATTATAGATAAAATGAATGTAATATTGAGAAGTTGTAAGCGTGTACTGTTTTTTTTATTTCCACAACTATCCAACTGTGTGTTTTGTCACAATTTTAGCCGGGTTCGAAGACAGTAGTGCAGGCGGCGTTAGATAAAGCCAGGCCCAGCCTCCCAGTGCAGCCTCTACCGACGAAAACCAAAAAAGACGAACCACGCGGAGTGAAATCTGCAGGAGCCCTCAAGAAGGATGCTGAGAAGAAAGTCTCGCAGCCCGTTAAAGGAAAGGTAAATTTTATCCTGTGTTGAAACAATGCTTATTTACATAATTTGTAGATTTAAAAATAGGCACTAAGATTCGAAAAAGTAAGTCATACAAATACTTGTCATAAAAACCAGTTAATTAAAAACCACAACTTCAATCATTTAACTTGACATTTAGACCAAACCATCAAATTTTATAAGCCACAATAATCTTGCATTGTTTAATATTAGATTAATATTATATATAATAAAATTCTTTTGTCACGGTATTTGTAATTGAACTCCTCCGAAACGGCTCGACCGATTTTCGTGCATATCGGCCAGGGTGGAGTATCGGACAACATCTATTTTTCATCCCCCTAAATGTTAAGGGTGGTCTTTCACCAATATATTAGTTTTACTATTTTATATTAAGTTGTGCTTTTCAAGTTTTCATAGACTGATTAAATCATAATATTACTACAACAGGGTTTTTAAGTCTAGTGAATTAATGTTTACTATTGAATTGTACATCATAAAACTAAAAGTTGTGTATATTGAATGTGTCAGGGCCCCGTTAAACCTACATCAGCGTCCAGTCGTGGCAAAAAGGAAGACGAAGACTGCACACCGTTGCTACCTAACAATAACTCGAAGAATCAGAGAATTATTGATGATCAAAAGTTGAAGGGTAATCTGTTTTTTTTAAATTATTAAACTACTAATTTATCAGTTAAAATTAATTTGTATAAGAAGTACTCCCTAAACTAATCATGTATTCAAATAAGTAAATTGTTTCTGACAAGAATAATGACATTTTTATAAAAAATATCATTACCTACATTTACCATTGTTGTACACATTTTGATTGGCATATCTAAAAATTTCTTCATTTTGTTATTACAAAACAATTATTTAAATGATACATTTAAAACTGATGTTTTTTATATATTCAGTTTTGAAGTGGAACTTTACGACACCACGTGAAGAATTCTTCGACTTACTGAGGGAGCAAATGGGAAGCGCTGGGCTAAATAAGCAGCTGGTCGCAAATATGTTTCACAGTGACTTTAGGTATGTGAAAATTCCATAAAGAGAAGAATACATTACTTGATTGTCTTTGGAATGCTTTTATTGTGATTGATGTATAGTATCATTAAAAATCATATATCAGAAATCTATGATATAGGTATTAAGTATTAAAAACCTATTAAATTACGTTTATTTTAATTTATTACCTTTCAACTTTGTTTATAATCGAAAAACTTAATCTTTTTACATGGAATCGCATTGAATCGCAATATATCAAAATGGAAAAGCTTCAAAACATGTAGAAATAAGGACGAAAACTTTGTCGCCGCTGCGGGAATCATTGAGCTAAACGGCTGATTGGCACAGTCATCAATCGCAACGTCATTCATCTACATTGTTTTTTCGCATTTCAAGCAATGCTTGTAAGGCATCTATTATTATATCCTTTACTGCATACAAATAATTTTGAAAGGTTATTCAAAATGTTACTTTTTTATGTCTCGTATTAAAGCGGAGTTTCTTACTAGTTCTTCTCTGGAAGGGTGTAAAGTTGTGAACCGTAGGTAGATTTTGGGTCTTAATTACAGAAATATATTCGAGCATTGGCTTCATCTCATATACGGACCGTTAATAATCTATATCTAATTCTTCTTTAGATACCATTTGAAGGCGATTGAAGCGTTATCTGAAGATCTGCAAGAGAACGGTCCGGCGCTGGTTGCGAACTTGGATCTGGTGCTCAAATGGCTGACGTTGCGCTTCTTCGACACCAACCCCTCCGTCATACTTAAGGGTCTCGAGTACCTCTCTTTGGTCTTCCACTACCTCACGGAAAGCGACTACACCATGGCCGAGTACGAGGCGAACTGCTTCATCCCCTATCTCGTTATTAAGGTGGGCTACCTTTATTTCCCAACTAGCTAATAGCAGTTAACAAAATAATGCTATGTGTTACAACATCAACACTAAGATATATCTGAAAGCCATTTAAACAAGTGTTAGTCTATACATAACAAAACAAATGCCATTAGGAAGGGCCAGGATGATCTAAATATATGTGGTGAAGTTTCTAGTGTGTTAACAGAAGGTTTATGTTTTGTTGCAGGTTGGAGATCCAAAGGACACAGTGCGTAACGGTGTGAAGGCGTTGTTCAAGCAGATTTGCGTTGTATATTCCGTCACGAAATTATTCGGTTATCTCATGGAGGGGCTAAAATCGAAGAATGCAAGGCAACGAGCCGGTGAGATAAAAATTATAAATGTAATAAAAGTAATAAATTTGTGTCATAAATAATATGAAATAATATTTTGTTTATAGGAATTACTGAAATTAGTGATTAATCATGCTTGCATGTTTTATAATAGAAAATTACATGAGTTTGCATCCAGAGTTCAGTTTCAGTGTGATTGACAAAATTCCTAGTTATTTGCAGTTCTGCTGCTACATTGTATGTTATTATTTTTTTAAATGGGTATTTAATTTTATTTTTAAAACTCCGCCTCACGCCATACGAAATGAATAACTACTCCCTGTAAGCCTATAATATGTTTAAATGTTCATATTCGCTTTCAGTAATATTTTGCGTCTTGAACGTGATTGTTCAAACAATAAAAAATGCAAGAGATTTCTCAGCATGAGGTTTTCTGTGGTAGGGCTATGCCACAGTTTTTGATGTGGCACAAATGGGCAGTTTCTTTCGGGGTAACCGGAGCCCACTTCATAAAATGGTGGCAACGCTGGATCTCTACGGTGCTCAAATGTCCAAAGACCGGCGGTAATAACTTAACATCAGGTGAACCGCTCTCATGTTTGCCACCTTCTCACATAAAAAAAAATAAAAGTCCGTAGCGTGCGTAAAGTACACGAGGAGAGTGTCGGCAGAGTGCCTGGAGTGCGTGGGCCACCTGCTGGAGACGTACGGGTCGACGGTGATGGCGCCGGGCGGCGGCGCGGCGCTGCGCGAGCTGGCGCGCCACATCGGCGACAGGGACAACGCCGTGCGCTCGGCCGCGCTCAACTGCGTCGCCAACGCCTACTTCCTCGAGGGCGAGAAGGTCTACAAGATGATCGGCCAGGTCGGTCGCATCTCTGCCCTATCGCAGGGGGGAATAGTTGGGTACCTACGCCGTGTCCTAGGGGTACACCCTTACTGTATTCACGTTGAAAGGAAGGTTGAAAGGTGAACTCTCCCCCGGCCCGTGTTATATTTGAGCACATGCTCCTTTCCGGGGGCGAAAAGGTATACAAGATGATCGGCCAGATCGGCTACTTTTATACGTCGGGGTGGAGGGGGGGGGGGTCCTAAGGGACTCCCTCCCAACTTTGATCGCACTGATCTCCCTCTATCTATATAATCTTTCTGACAACAAGTTACATTCAGGTCTTTAATTTTCACATTAAGTGATGAGTTTGATGAAGTATGGAATTTTGCACTGTAATGATTAAATATTTGTCACCTTCATATATTCAAAAAATATAGATTAAAACATGAAATAAATTCAGTCAGTAATTATGCAAGTGCCTCTGAAATAATCTTTATAATTACTGTGAAACACAAATGGATGCCGATGAAACTTGATTTTATGCATATCCTATGTCGTATGTGCTTCTAAAGAATATAAATTACAATACGTAATAGAATAAGAAGCTTCTTTGTGCCGCACATGAGAAAGAATTTGTCACGTGATCATCCTCATATTCAATTATTGTCATTAATCAGTCTGACTAACGATAATCCCTTAATAAGATTACAAATAAAGATAATTGAATTAGTAATATTCTTATTTGAAAAAATAGCTTCAGCCTGAAGCCCCGCGTACGCTTATTAGGCGATGACGTATATGCTTCATGAAGATCAGTGTCAATTTAAACACTTGCGGAACACAAAGATAACATAACTTATTTATTTTTAAAGAATATTTGTATTTACGAAATGTCACACGCCTTTTTACCATTTGCACTTTTGCTTAAAATTCAATCCCAATGAAAACTTAGTCGTTATATCATCTATGTAACCTATACGCGAGTAAAATCCGCAGTATCGTTAAGAAAGCTAACAAAAAGCGAAATCCATTAATACAATTATTTATGAAAATTTTCCAATTAATATTCTCTATTACCACTCAATTCCTTTCTCCTACGACCTATCTTATCGTCGTGTATTGTATTCTGTTCTTATCACACTTCATAAAATTTATATGTTAGTGGTGTTTTATCGTTACAATGATTCTGAATGTATTTAGATATTATTTATCATCAGATTAAGAAGCGTGGAATAATATTTCTCTAACCTTTACTAATTATCACTAAACACTTTTAATTTCGTTTTTCTACGAAGTTCTCATCCATAAGAATATTATTATTTCCGCTGCGATAATCTTCGGAATCCCAACCGGCCATGGCGAGTTTGCCCGATCTGACGAACGTATTTTTATATCGTAGCTTCATTGACAAAGAAAAGAGACGGAGATATCAAAATTTGAAGAGCGGAAATTCAAAAATTCCGATACCGATCGAATTCCAGATCTCCGATAAGGACCTGTCTCTTCTCGAGGAGAGGATCAAGAGAGCGAGCAAAAGTCGCAGTGCGGAAGCGAGGAGGTCGATGGTTGTGCCTCTATCAGCATCTGGAAGACCCATTCAGCCGGTTCCCGAGGTATCTTAAATGACTGCTCTATAATGTCGTTTTCGAATCTGATTAATTTAATACAATACATTTAAAATTAATTTCATTTGTTCTTGCTTTCAGTCCGTAGACTATTGAAAGTTTTATCGAACACAATTTAAAAATAATTTGTTGCGCCTATTATTAAACGCGGTACAGATCATTGTCGCTACGATATTTCATTTGATTATTTTAACTTCAAATTTGTTTCGTGGCTAAATATTAAAATGGAATCTATATCAAGTTTAATACCACAATTATTGGGTATTGCTAAATTATTCGTGCTTATTCAGGATGAGCCGCCAAGACGCGTGATATCAGTTGACAATGTACCAACCGCAGAATACGAAGAGGAGGAAATCGAGGAACAACCACCGCCACCTGTACCACAGCCGTAAGTTTACCACAGTCTATCAAAATGCAGGGTAAAAAAAAGTCAGCTTATGCTTACTAACGCTTTTTACTCCTAAACTTATAAATATTTTTTTAACATTATGTGATGACAACTTTTTCTTTAGTGTCTGTTATTTGTAAACTATTGAGCAGTGCTTCTAATTATTTACGTAAGACAGCCTCTTAAAAAAAAAACAATGAACAGTGACGATAAAACTAAGCTCTCAAGACACAATATAATGGGACAGAAAAAATTATATATAATTCATCCATGAAATTCCTGCAGTTAAATTACTGATCGTACGTAAGTATAATTTACACCGGTGTGCACGTACACCGTTTCTAGGGCAAAATAATGATGTACGGGTGTGTGTACGTGTATATGTGTTTGTGTGCGCTCGCAGGGTGGCGCCTGTGGCCCGCGCGATAACGGGACCGTTCGGGCTGGACCCCGAGCTGATCGCGCAGCTGGACGCGGCCGTGCCAGTGACGCGCCGCCCCGACCTGCCCGAGATCGACCTCAAGTTCCTCGACGAGCCCGTGCCCGCGCCCGCCGCCCCGCCGCGCGCCACGTACGTGCACGCGCACACCTCCGATTTTACGCACTCGAAACGTTTGACACACATTTTGACGACTCCGTGGCGCAGTTGCCAAGGTATCGGCTTCGGCGGTCCGGGGTCGTGCGTTCGATTCCCACACGGGACAACTATTTGTGTGACGCACAGATAGTTGTTTCGCATCTGGGTATTTGTCCACGTGATATTTATGTTTGTAAAACGTCCTTATAACACAGGATAATGTTATCCTAAAGTAAGGGCATCGTTTTTTAAAACAAAATAGGAAATAAAAATAGACATGTCTGAAACGTACGAGCACGCAAACACATTCAATTGGACGCGCTATTAAATAGATGTCGTACGTGCATACGCTCAGAAACGTGTGCAAAATTCAACATATTTTTGTAGTGCATAAAAATTGCAATAACAAATTCACAGGTGCCCGTACCGGCCTTTGAATTCGGATTGATCGTGTATATTGAGAATGAACTTCTCGTTTTTAATTCAGTTTTAACTTTTGACTTTGAATATACTCAACCAACTGAGAGTGATAGCTCAGTAGGTACCACTTTCGGCGTACATGAGAAATAATAAAACTTGAAAGCAAGGTTTTATAAAGTCTTTACAGGTTAACTATATAACTTGAAAGAAAGGTTATCTACATTGCATTTAAGTTACGTATTACAAATCTCAATATATACTATCAATATTACTATTACATTCATCTCAATGATTTTATACTACTAATGTTTAGTACTTAATCGGTAAGAGGGTAAGATAAGGAATCGTTATGTCCAATCGTAAAATCTTTTTTTTAATTAAAAATTGTTATTTGACAAAACTTTGTTAAGTGAATAATTAGGGATTTCGTCGCACTAAAAGTATATAACCGTGTAAAAATTAGGATATAGAACTACATAAATAAAGTGGACATTGATATTATGATATGCCCCACTGAGTCAATACAAGGGGCCATTGTTACTTCAGCAGATCATAATGTTGTTCGTTTTCCAGTATGGTGACGATGTCTCCTCCCCGCCACATGACGCCGCACCCGCTGGTCTCCGCGCAGCATCAGCAGCATCCCCAGCACCCGCAGCATCCCCAGGCCACTCAGCACTCGCAGGCCGTGGACGACTCGCAGCTAGCGGACACTATCCACTCGATAGCCAGCCCGGACCTGAACGTGCGTACAGTTCACAGTTATGAGAAGAGAAAATACTCAACTGTATCAAAAATACTAAATATTCCCCTATTTTTGTCGAGACGAATCTAATGACGCCTCATATGTTGAATTGAAAATATGCAAGCTGTAGAACCTGCCAAAGAATTAGGCATAACATGGCTAGAAAAAATATTACCCTCCTTCGCAGTCAGGTAAATAAAAGCTTTAAATTTTATGGATAGCACTATGGTGGTTTCTTTGCAAACTGCCATTGCGTATAGCAGCAATCACCGCACGAAGGAAAAATGTTATCACTACGCAATTCTTACTCATGATTTTTCATCCCTCAATGTTTTTTTACAGTTGATAATTTATTTAGTTGCTTAAGATGTGACATTATATGTACATTAAAATGTTTGCTTAATTTGACACATTAAGCTTACATTTTCTGTTGTGTCCGTGGCGGAGTTGCCAAGGTATTGGCTTCGGTACCGGGGGTCGTGGGTTCGATTCCCACACATGACAACTATTTGTGTAACCCATAGATAATTAACAGGCTTAAGAATTGTATTAAAGGTAAACTTTTAAAAAAGGGTGATTTTAATATAAATGCATACATTAATGATATTAAACCCTGGGAATGCTTGATGATCACTCCTGAACTGTTTCTAAAAAAATTATATATTGTATAATATTATAAAATTTTGAGAATTAAAAAAGAAGATACCTATGGAGTTTCTTTCGCCTGTTTCTTCTCCGTTAGAGGAACTTCATAGACGAAATGTATATTTCTTACTACAGTGAATAAATGCTTAGATTTCCTGAACAGGCGGCGATCAGGGCGCTGTCCCTGATATCTGGCGCGCTGGTGTCGGGGCGGGGAGGGGCGCTGGCGGCGTACGAGTCGCGTCTGCTGACGGCCATCGCGGCGCAGCTGCGCCGGCTGAGGACGGCGCCGGCCGAGCCGCAGCACACGCTGCCCGCATACAAGTGCCTCACGGGCGCGCTCAACACGGTTAATATGTTCTTAATAGTTCAATGATACATCATTCATTCGCTCTGTCACAACTGGTGAAGGACGGACACCCTATTTACGCTCTCGTTCAATGTTAAACCATTCATTCGCTCCGTCACAGCTGGTGAAGGATGGACACCCTATTTACGCTCTCGTTCAATGTTAAACCATTCATTCGCTCCGTCACAGCTGGTGAAAGAAGACGCCCTATTTACGCTCTCGTTCAATGTTAAACCATTCATTCCCTCTGTCGCAATACAGTCCGTGGGAACGACGACGCCATATTAACGTTCTCGTTCAAACTTAAATCGTTCATTCCTCTGTCATTCACTACACTGAAATAACAAAACTTTCTTGCAACTCACAAATGGAGCTTTCAATCAAGGACTATTGTATACTAACAAATAATTACTTCGAAATCATAGATCGTACAAAGGTTTAAAATAAATATATTTGTAACCTCTCACTTTGTATACCGCGTGTCTTTACAATTGCGACAATAAATGAACACACATATAGGGGATAACTTTTTAAAATAAAACTGTAACGTAAAGTTCATTTGTAAAGGCCACAAAGCATATGAATGGGTTGAATGAATTTAATAAAGACAAAACATACTGTTAGAAGGAGAAGCTTGTAATGTGACGCTGTGGCGCAAGTTGTATAGGTGTTACAAATTTTGTTTGTTTTTTACTTAATTAGTTTATTTGAAAAATATTTTTTTTTTAATTATGGATTTTGTTTAACATTATAAATGAAACTAATTTTTACGGATTTATCGCGTTTATTTTTAATTTTAATTCCCGACGTTTCGAACCCTTTACAGCGTTCATGGTCACGGGACAGACTGAGGTGTTAGACGTCTGATTGTCATAGTTAACCCGGGCTACCGTCAGTTTTTGAATTATTAATTTTGTGTCCGATCTATGCAGAGGGAGCTAATTGTATCTTGTCTTGCAGTAGTGGTTCGTTTGGGCCTAGATTTAATTTTATTGATGACAGGATCCCAAGCTGATGGTAGTACCCAACCTTCTTCTCTATTGAAATTAGGGTGTTTTTTAATTTCAATAGCCTCGCGAATCATCCTTGGGAGGAATCGGTGTTCTTTTGCAAGGATCTGTGGTTTGTCAACCTGATGTAGTGGTTGGGTCTATTCAAAATGTGCTCACAAACTGCAGACTTGTTTAATCTATTGTGTTTGATGTCAGCTATATGTTCTTTCACGCGGGTTTTTATTGCTCTTTTCGTTTGACCTATGTAAGAGAGCCCACATTCACAGTCAAGTTTGTACACTCCTGGATCTTGCAGAGGGATATTACACTTGACAGATGGTAAAAACTGACTAATCTTCTTCAGCGGCTTGTAGAATGTATTAATTGAAGCCTGCTTTAAGATATAGCCAATCTTGTCGGTGACTCCTCTGACGTATGGTAGAACAGCAGGTACTCGCTCCACTGTGGCTGGTTTCACTCGGTCACTGTGACGTAGGCGCGGTGCTCGAAGCTTGTTGTCATGCAGAACTTGCTTGACATGTTGAAGCTCAGCGGCCAGGTGTTGTTTGTCACGGATCCCTTGTGCTCTCTGAAACAAAGATTTACCCACGGTAGCTAACTGGGATGGATGGTGGTGAGAATCACCGTTTAGGTATCTATTTGTATGGGTTTGCCTTCCTATACACAGTGTGACTTACAGTGTTATTTGGATTGCGGATGACCAAAACATCTAAGAAAGCTAAAGAGTTATTATGCTCTAATTCCATAGTGAATTGTATTTTGGAATTTACTGAGTTAAGGTGGTTTAGAAATGCATTAACTTTACTTGTTGGTAAAATGGTGAAGGTGTCATCTACATACCTCTTGTAAAACCTTGGATAAATGGGAGCTGTGCGAAGGGCCTTCCCTCAAAGTCTTCCATAAATATGTCAGCGACAATGGGAGATACTGGGCAGCCCATTGCTACACCATCTATCTGTATGTAAAATTCCTCCTTCCAAAGCAAGTAGCCGGATGTTAGGCAATGTTTAAGTAGTAATGCATACTCTTCCGGCATGTTATTCTCTTTTAGCTTTCTTGTTACAATTGAGATGCAGTCTTCTAATGGTAGGCATGTAAATAAAGACTGTACATCAAAACTGACCATTGTTTCATTGTCAGCAAGACATAGTTGTTTTATCTCACTAACAAAATGGTAAGAATCCTTTGTGTATGCCCTTGTGTGTCCTCTCAGTGGTGAGAGAATTCGTACTAGATGTTGAGCCAGTCTGTAAGTTGGTGAGTCGATCTGGCTTACAATAGGGCGTAATGGTATGTCTGGTTTGTGTATTTTAGGCAACCCATACAATTTTGGGGGTTTAGCACATGAAGGTGTCATCGATTTCACGTCTAGATTTAATTTTTCGGAGTATTTTTTAATGAGATCGCTAGTTAATTTAAGCGTTTTAGTGGTTGGGTCTGTTTTGACCTTTTTATACGTGCTTACATCCGACAACAGTTCTTGTATTTTCAAATTATAATCCGACGTTTTCATAACCACCGTAGCATTTCCTTTATCTGCGCGGAGAACAGTTAAATCTTTGTTGTTGCGTAAGCTGTTTAACGCGTTAAATTCATCTTTAGGGAGGTTAGACTTCGGTACCGAACTTCGACGTAATAAGGACGAAATATCTTGTCGTATACCTTCTAAATCTTCCTTACCGATGTTATTTTTATATAAACAGTCCTCGACACTACAGATTATTTCTTCGTACGGGATTTTTCGCGGCGTTATTGCGAAATTTAAACCTTTCGATAACACCTTCATAGTAGATTCATCCAGTGTTTGTTGTGACAGATTATAGACCGCGCGATGTCTATTCTCTGTGTCTGTGGTCAACGGTTGCGTTTCGTTCATGCGTTGCGAAGATCGTTTGGCATTTGATTTGTTGACTAATTTATGATATTTTTCAATAAGTTTATTTTTGCATTGTTTATATTTAGTTGTTTCGCGCTGATTTAATGTATACATGCAGTTTTGGTAATCAAATGCCGTTAAAATTGTTTTAAGCTGACTGGATGAATTATCTATGGCAGAATTAATGACATATAGATCGGATCTATTTTGACGAATTACCCTACGTAACAATTTTATACTGGCCTGGTTTAAGATCTTCGCGCTTCCTCGAATGTCCTTCTTCGATGAGATTTTGACACACGTAGGAATGAGATTGTTGTCTCGGCATCTCTTCAAGAAATTTAAAGATGTTATATATCTTGCGCGCTTAGTCTTCAGATCTTCCAGACCGCGAATTTTATTTGCAACTTCCAGTCCGTACTGGTTTACATAATAATTTCTTGTATTTACGCGATTACACATTATAAATGAAACTAATTTTTACGGATTTATCGCGTTTATTTTTAATTTTAATTCCCGACGTTTCGAACCCTTTACAGCGTTCATGGTCACGGGACAGACTGAGGTGTTAGACGTCTGATTGTCATAGTTAACCCGGGCTACCGTCAGTTTTTGAATTATTAATTTTGTGTCCGATCTATGCAGAGGGAGCTAATTGTATCTTGTCTTGCAGTAGTAACTGACTTAACTGACGGTAGCCCGGGTTAACTATGACAATCAGACGTCTAACACCTCAGTCTGTCCCGTGACCATGAACGCTGTAAAGGGTTCGAAACGTCGGGAATTAAAATTAAAAATAAACGCGATAAATCCGTAAAAATTAGTTTCATTTATAATGTGTAATCGCGTAAATACAAGAAATTATTTTGTTTAACATTATATTTTTTTATGATTATTGGCAATTAGCGTTAGACGTGGATTCATTTATTGTCGCGATGGTAACGACACGCTGTATAAGAAATTTTTAAAACACTGTGTTATTTGAAAGCTACTTCCCTTTTTGTGTATTGCCTCTTCTCTGTTGTCTGGTTTCCCTTCATTCTTTGGTGAAAACAAATGGATGACGTGATTCTTGAGGAGGAAGGTGATTAATTCACTTAGGTTTTGTATCGATGCCCATTGTTGAAAATAAAACTATGACGCGCAAATAAAATAGCAATCGAAAAAAGGAAATGCCTATAAACAGCAAGGGTGTGATCCATTTTGAATGGAATTTACCTTTTTATTTCTAATTCCCTATGCTTTAGAATTCAAAACTCAAAAACATTCTCATGGAAGCTATAGCATGCAGAATCTGGAGAATGTGGACAGCTTTCACTTATCATGCATATGGTTTGTAAGCAACATTCATTACGTCTGTCATATCGCTTTTACGACCTATAATCTACATTGGACATAGAAAGCAGTAACAAGTTTACCCCATCGGTGGTTAAGAATGATAGCTCAATATTGTTATATTATAACTATACAAATTTTGCACCATTGTATTACGTGATCGTATTACCGTGTATTTTTATTAAAGATTAATTAAATCTTTGTGTAAAAGTCTTACATAAAGTGATAGAAAATACTGCACAAAATATTAATATTAATATTTTATTATTATTAATAAAATATTAATATTAATATTTTATTATTATTAATAAAATATTAATATTAATATTTTATTTATACTCATTTGAATTGTATAAAAAGGAGTGTCACCGCCTATATTGTCCCACTGTTGAACAAAGACTCCCTTCCAGTATTTTGTTTTTGATTTTATCACTGGATAGGACCTCAAGGTTCAATACCAATGTAATTAATATGGGACCACATGGAAGCAGAACGGAACCCAACCCTATGCAAAAATAAATTTTGAACATCGCTCCATAAACGAGAGGTAACGAATGCCGGATCCTTTTCGGAGTCCGCTTAAAAGACGCTGAAACCGGCACCCGCAGTTCAACGTCTTTGATAATCTGTTAAAATATCGATATATCAATACAAAGTATTGAATATCGAAAATCGTATCAAATACCATATTTTTTCCAATTCGACTCCGGCACAGAGTCCGTATTTAACAAAAATTTAATACTTGACAATGCCAATTACTTTTAACAAGGGTGTTTCTAGGACCGATATATCGATATTCCCTTCAAGGCCGATGTTTATAAATATCGACACAATTCCGCACCTTCGACATCTCCAAGTCTTTAAATGAACCGTCGAGGCCGACATTTATATTTTTACAAATATCGATATGCCGCCCACAGTTCTACGACGCGGCGGGGTGCGGCGGCCACGTGGGCGAGGCGGCGCTGTGCGCGCTGCTGGGCGAGCTGCTGCGCGTGCTCGGCGGGGGCGCGGGCGGCGCGGGCGGCGACGCCGAGCGGCTCGTGCGGATCCTCAACAACGTGTGCGTCAGCGTGCTCGAGCACTCGCCGCGCACTCCGCTGCTCTGGTGCGTGCACGCTTCGCTGGTCTCTACGCCACTTCTAATGGCCGTGCCCTAAAAGGTCCCTATGTTAAAAAAACGAGGTGTTTCGCTTACGAGCCGTTGCGTTACCTACGGAAAGTGAGTTTACTAGCGTTCGTTTTGATCTACAATTCGTTGTAAAAGTTAGTAATATTAAAAGTTAGTAGAAGAAATAAGAACTCTGGGGCGTGCGTGCACGGACTTGTAGATAAAAATCGTGTACGCCCAGTTCGTATATTAACAATATGAGGCATTTTCCATACGAGCCGTTGCGTTACCTACGGAAAGTGAGTTACTAGCGTTCCTTTCAATCTACAAGTCGTTATGAAAGTTACGAAGCTATGTAACTAGCGGCCGTTCGTTGAATATAGAATGCAAGCATAACAGTGGTGGGGCCACGCAACGGTGTTCACTGTTGCACTTATGGGCCCGTCCATACGGGTAGATAACACCACCCCACAGAAGACCGGCGTAAAGTTACACGTCCAAGTTTCGTCTGGTGAATGGGGTACCCGGGGCCCACTATATTTAAATGTGGCAACGCTTCTGCAACTCAACGGGTGTTGCAAATGTCCATGGGCGGCAGTTATCACTTAACATAAGATACTTTGTCGCATAAAATACTTCAGCCTGTTTGAGTCCAGCAGTGGTAGTCATCTCGTGAGTGGGGTATCTGTGGCCAAATTTTTAAAAAGTCAACGCACCTGCATCCGGTGTCGTAGATGTTCATTGGTGGCGGGAATCACTTAACATCGGGAAGAGTCTGCTCGTCATTTCAGCCTGTTTGAGTTCTCTGCTGAACACAGGCCTCCGCCCTCGGAACGCCATGAAGCACGATGATGACCCGCCTACATCCATTGACTTGAGCACACTTGCACAGGTCGTCTTCACTTGTTTATTTATTTACTTTTCCAACAGTGAGTTTTCTTGGGTATGTGAGAAGGTGGCAAGCGATCTGGCGGTTCACCTGATGTTAAGTGATGTAACCGCCGCACATGGACATTTGCAACACCCATAGGGTAGCAGATACGTGAGGTTGTGGTACTTCCCCGGACGGACCTTCCTATTCGTGCGACAGCGAAGACTGTAACATGGCCCTACCATTTATTTATTTATTTGGTTTTCCGACAATGATAAAAAGAATAAACAAATACTCAAACATGAGTATTATGCCTCATTACTTATACAAAAACACAGTATACTCTAAATTAATGTTCTAACTTAATAATAATACACTAGTTTGAACAATCTGGGTCAGTAAATTAAATTTAAATTAAAGTTATAATTATGACGGACTGACCTTTCGTTTCACAGCGCTATAGTTTCCCTTTTACACGAGTCCATTGGCGTATCGGATCCAGCATACCCTCGTTACCAAGACCTGTTGCTGAAATGCTTCTGGAAGACTCTAAAGATGATCGCAACCTGGGATGTAAACTCCATAGACTATGATGCCGTACTATACAAAATTCATCTCTTCTACAAAGCCTTCCCTAATAGCTATTGGAAGAAAAATGCTGACATCAGTGATACGCCTTACAGGTGAATAAAAAGTAAAAATATGCTTTATTGTACACCATAGAAACATTACAATATTTATAATTAAAAAACACACGGGTACAGCAGGCGGCCTTATCGCCTAAACAGCGATCTCGGGCAGAGAAATTCATTAAAAGAAGATAGTGGCAGGGGTTTACTTAATAAATACTTCTTTGTAAAAGTATAAATATTTCAAATAGGTAATTAAAAAATAATGATGTTGCTGTTTGCTGTTTGTTATATTTCGTAATATGTTCATAAGATTATTATATCATTCTATTAATATTAATATTTCTATTATTATTCAAGGCCAAATTATATCATCCAAACTCAAAAGTCCGATACCAATCTATATAGGATATACCAAATGAAAGCTAAACTGAAACCAATGCTATATATATATAAAAAATATCGCTAAGGAAAAAGATCTTCAACAAGAGGTGTCATATACTCGCACTATCTTCATGTCACATTGTACTTAATCATATTACCATGATATTGTAAGCAAATTTTCCATATGAATTGCTTTTAAAACAATATTTTTGTTTTCAGAACTGTAAAGACCCTAGTTCATACACTAGTTAAAATGAAAGGGGCGGCAATAACGAACCACCTAACACAAATACCAGATGTCAATGAATCTGATCTTTATCCCTATCTGCATAAAGTATTAAAGGTAAGACAAAAACTTAAAATTGTTCTGTACAAGATAATAAGGACAATATTTCACATAATTATTAAGCTGACAATGTTGAGAATCAGTATTGGGCTGAAGAAAAAGTCTATACTAATATAAAATGAAATAACAGTAACAAAAATGAACATTTTGAAGAAAAAGTGTGCCTGAAAAATGATTGATGAACTCTTTTTGTAGGAATATAAAGAATTATTAAAACTTACGTTTTAATAATTCTTTATGAAATCCGCATGGGTAGAAACTGTATAAAGCTGTATATTCTCACAACGGGTGAATTGAGATTAAGATTTGATTTTACAGTCGGCCTATAAAAAATTGTGTTATGGGTATTGTGTGAAAATTTCATAACATTGCAATTTTAGAATGTCGTATATGGCTAGTGCTTGTCAACCATTTCATGATATTACCTGATCAGGAGAGTTGCTAGTCACTGTTGCCTAGAAGACGCCACATTGTTGTTTTAAAACTCAGCCAGATTCATTGGCATACTTAGAATGTATACAAATCAATAATAAGTATTGATATGTTTATAGATGATAATTTTTATTTTCTACCTGAAGCATATACTAAATATTGTACAGTAAAATCTAACAATATTGTGTTGTGATTATTGACTGTGTAATGCTAAGAAAAAAAAAATTACAGGAAAACACTTTCATTGAAACAACCAGTCATTTCTATGCTATACACTTCCATGTTCATCATACTGTTAAATTTTTAATTATATGTCGGAGATAGGTGGATCACATAGGACAACTCGTTGTCAGATCCCTCATCGGACATGTACGCACAAAATATAAGTTATCACGTAGCCGTTACTTGTTCGATTAAAATCAACAATAACGAAAATAACTATTAACCACACTGATGTAATTGAATGGAAACGTAGCAAGTTGGATACAGGAAGATGACCTTTCGCAACGCCGTCCCTTTTCTAAGTGGCTTGCCCGAGCACGTCCAGAACACACCCCCGTGTCCGATGTCAACTGACTTCCCGTCAAGTCCACTCTCTCACTTCCTGTATCGACCTCACTAAAACGCACTACTTGACGTTTCCGAGAGCTACCAATAGATGGTTTTGTAATCACATCTTGATCCTGCGACATATACAGCGTGTCGTTACCATCGCGACAATAAATGAACACACGTCTAACTGTACTTGCCAATAATCATAAAAAAATATTACCGTTAAACAAAATACTTAATAATTTTTTTTTTCAAACAAACTAATTAAGTAAAAAAGAAACAAAATTTGTAACATCCTATACAACTCGCGCCACAGCGTCGTATTACAAGCCTCTCCTTACAACAGTATGTTTTGTCTCTTTTAAATTCATTCAACCCATTCATATGCTTTGTGACCTTTACAAATGAACTTTACGTTACGCTTTTATAGGTAAGGGTGTTCTAAAATTATTTGTTTTGCAAAATTTAATAATTCTGTAGATATTGATGTTTAAATAATTTAAATGTTTAATACAACTTTAAAAAGTTATCCCCTATATGTGTGTTCATTTATTGTTGCGATGGTAACGACACGCTGTATAACAAAATTGGTAATGTTGGAATATTCACATTTACGTTATCGTATCGCTCGCAGCAATTGAAGCTCGACGACAAGAAGGAGAATACGGCCGATTCGCTGAACGGAGGGGGCGGAGTGGGCGTGGGCATGGGCATGGGGGGAGTGGGCGTGGGCGCGGTGTCGGGCAACGCTTCCCTCCACTCGGGGCGACTGCCGCGCGCGCTGCACGAGGAGCTGGCGCTCATCCTCAAGCGCATCGGCTCCAAGGACCACAACCGGGACGCGCTCTCCCAACTCTACGATCTAAGGGTGGGTGGTCGCATTATTCTCTTCGTCTATCGGATCTTATGCTCTCCTGGTGGTTGTTTCGTTATATATAACCTATCATCATCACTTTAGCTTGTCTTAGTCCACTGCTGGGCATAGGCCTAACCCGAGCATAATCCTGAGCCACCTGCAACCATCGACTTCCCGCACATTTGCACAGATCATCACTCCATCTAGTTAGGGGTCGTCATAGACTATGATGGCCATTATTGTCACTCAAGAATATTTCTTCCTCAGCGGTGATAACTTCTACAAGCTATTTCGCCCGCTGCTTTATACATTGGTTATATAACGTTAACAACATCTTAACTAACATGTTACTGTTCTAGGGACTAGGGCCACATAATAGCTACTGCTGTTACTTGATTCATCATGTGTCAGATTCATTTGATGAACCACAGTCTTACAAAAGACCTGCGTGAAATAGAAGTATTAGCGTTTCGTATAGCAAGTGAAGTTTCCGGGGCCCACTTTTATTAAGATTAGCGGAAATCATCTGTAATCCATCAGGAGTTTTCGATATCATTGTGTGATGGTTTTCACTCAACATTAATGAAACATCTTACTCGCTTTGCTATCTTTACATATAAAAAGATAACGGAATTTTTGATGGAATTACGAGGTTTCTATTTCTAGTTAAGATCTCTACAAGAATATCATAACCTGTAAACAGATTATACCATTTTTACGATGCCGAAACCCATAGGCCATTACTGCCATCAACTCCGTATTAAGTTTCTTAAATGATTTATGTTCTTGTATTAACTATCTGCCGACATTCCAGGAACGTCATCCAGAGGTCGACATATGGACTTTTATGCAGGGTTCATCATTCTACTTCCGCAACTATGTGGAGCGAGGCTTGAGGGAAGTTGCAGAGCAACGCAAGATGGCAACAGTGCCAATTTATAAGCACGATTATAAAAATGAGAATATAGGTATACAGCATTCTTATGGCTTTTTTATATGGTGTTAAAATTATGTTTGTAAGCCGGATTTGCTATTACATTTAAAGAAACTATTGTATGTCAACTCAATTGTGCCATATTCATGTATACTCACAGTTCAGGGCATGTACTGCAAAGTAATGTAATATAGGGTTATTACTCAATAATTTCTTACTACACTTACTATCATAACAATCACATATACTATAATTATATGTCAAATACGTCTAAAAATTAATATTTCATTTTGTTGATATAGGTTACAGCCTATGTATTACATACACTGCTGGGTAAAAGCCTCTCAAGATGGAGTTCTCAGCATATAGTTTGTCACGCGACAGCACAGTGCAACGGCTGACTTGCATATCTTCATATTTTTTTAAGTTTTTTTTTTATTTGGAAACTTGAAAGATGGACAGAAAAGCTATTTCACTCTATGGCGGATGTATAATGTAACTCCAATGATGTAAATGTCATCGTGACGTGTTAAGTCAGTGTAGTTACGAGAAAAATAAAATACCTGTCTGGGTTTTTCGCATTAACATTCACTTTTTCATTGCTTACCTAATTGTTTGTTTGAATTTTGTCTTAGTATTCCTCAAAAGTCGAGGATTTTTGTTTTTCTGATCTGGCTATGAGTTATGTGTCTTTGTCACTTCTAGTACTTACATTTATACTACCATGAAGTATTTTAAATGATATCTCTTTACTTCAGATATCAGCAACGAAAATGATGAAAAATCTCATGTGATATTCCTGGAGCGACTGAGGGCTTTACAGGTAATTAACAATTTTTAGGTTTTAATAAAAGAATAATTTATGTGGTTTTCAGTCAATCTTAATAAGCTTGTCTTCTTCTTGTTTACTTTTTGGCGGTTTTCAATGAATATGCCAATGAACACTGTCAATTCTCAAACACTGTTAGCTAATATTCTACTAAGCTTGTCAGACCATAACAGTACTGCCTTTTTCTCGATTCATTCAAAACATACACAGCTTCAATATATGACTTTACCGTCAGGAGCGTTACCGTTACTTTTTGTGAAACAATTTGTTACAGGCTAAAGCCGGCATGAAAACGGAATCGAACCCTTCGTCCCAGCCACGCACCCCGGTCGGCGATAACCGCGCTCTCGCGGAGTCCATCAACGAAAACAGCTTGCCCCGCACCCACAGCATCGATCCACAGCTCGAAGTAGGTGTATGTACTGTTCATTGAAAAATGCAATGAAAAGAATGTAGATAGATGTCGAGATTTCCGGCGCCGTGAGGTCAACGGCCGCTAAACTTACTTGGTACACTGTCTAGGTCCGAAACCGGAATCTCAGGTTTGATAGTTTTTGTTCATTTAACTATAAAAATGCACAATTTAAAGTTTCATTTTGAGTGTAGAGACTCTGAGGCACTTACAATATAAAAATAATCCTAAAATTCCTAAGAATCATAGATTTTCTTATATGTACATGATTTTTTTGGATAAATTGTTGAGAAATAATCGACGCTGTGGAATGTGAACGTACTACTTCTGGATAACGAGCGCAATGCTCTAACCAATTGAGCTAAGCGGCCGTTATCTTCACGTCGCGTAAATCTCGTAATTTATCTAATTTCTTTTTTTTTTTTTGCAATGGTCAGCGCCATCTAGTCTTCTTTCTAACATACCATCACTTTTCAAATAACATTATTAAAATGATTATTTTAACGGGAGATGTCGCCTTTGCTTTTGAATTGATGAAATTGATTATTAATTTTATTTTTAATCCTATTCTTTGTACTGAAGACTACAATTAATATCCTCCATTTTCTACAGTTTCGTTTCAAATACATAAAATTGTAGCCTTCCACATCTGAATATTGCCAAATGGTGAAATAAATAAAAGCAATATAATTTCTAGTAATATCTACATGAATATTTTTGAACAGTTAGTTGAAAGTTCTTAATAAAGTTTTATCTTAAATAAAATCTCAAATTGCATACTAGAGTGATCTTCCTAATATTCTCTTTATATATATTAGATTACGCATTATTTTAAGATTATAAACAACTTGTTTGCGCTTTACTATAAAAAATATGTTATGCTTGATAGAACCACAAACCTTTAAATTACAGATACAGTTATAAATATGTGTTCAGAAATTGAGCTTTACAAGTAATAAATAATATTAATTTTCAGTTGCATACTCAAACTGTTTCGCAAAAGAACGAGGCGGCGGTGGATGCGCTTCGCCTAAAACTGCAACAGATCAAGAGTTCGTCCAAGAGATAGACCTCTTCGTCCACTGTCCCAATTTGGCGGCTCTCTACCACACTGATATTGCGGTTGTATTATGCGATTTTAGTCCTTACGTTATAGTTGATAGGCGTTACGACGACCGCACGTTCACTCGACCATACTTGTGATAATTTAGAGACGCTTCAACACACTTCTGAAGACTAAAAGAAATCTCATCCACTTCTTACATGATTCCGGTGCGCTTTACCAGTTAAGTTAGTTCCTACAACATTTTTAGTGTTAGTCCAACAATTTCGTAAGTTTGAAAGGCCTATTTTAATGTATGGCATGATAAACGTCCAGTGTATTCCCCCCTTTCTATGGAGTCAATGTGACAATACGAGTAACAGTATCGCATCAATCAGGGTATGAGACGCTTTTAAAATTTTCTCGACTTCCATAGAAGGGGCGTTAACATGTTAAAAAGTAGAGTGTTAATAGGAATTAAATTCTAAACGAGATCTAAGTGTAGTCGTCGCTTGCCGGAGTTTTCTCTGAATGAGATTCGAAGTATCAAAAACCGCTCGCTTTTCTCTTAGATAATTCTTATTAAAGTGTTGAAACATGTGTCTTCGAAATAAAAATCTGGTAATCACACGAATTTCGCACCCAAGTGCACATTTTAATAAGATACATTAGTACTAAATCTATGCCCCATTAACGTAATTTATATCTGCGCTTAATGTTTGCGACTTTGACAAAACTCAATTAAAATTTCAGCTTACAAACAAAATAGTGTCAAAATACACACACAAATACAACAGCGAGTTAAGTACCTACGAAATTATAATGATAACCTAAGAACTAGAAAAATATACTATTTTTGATCTGATATATAAATATTCGGTTATTTCTTCTTTAAATGAGTGATCAATGTAGTCTTCTTCAATAGAAAACTACAATTGATAAGTACATTGACTTATGGAATTGTATTTCATTATATTTATCTGTTAATAAACAATGTTATTTGATTTGTTTCTGAATGGAGTTTGAAGACAAGGATCGCTATATTTTCTTATTTTTCTCCCCAAACAATTTATTCTTAATTATTATATGGCTGGCAGTCGTCATCCAGTAGGTTTTTAGAAAAACTTTTTAAGCTGAGATGAGGCCAACTTTAGCATATTTGTTTTTGTTTTACCCTTAGCACATGTCAAATTTCACAAATCGTAACCCAAACATTCCTACAGTATTGGTTTTCAATGTACAAATTTTCTCCTCACATCATCTCGCACACATTCTATTCCACTTCTTCGTAAACACCCTATTTCAGTAGGATTTTTTTTGTTTAACTTAGCGCCTCCTTTACATAATTTTATGATACCAAATTTTCCATATTGACATGAAAATTAATAATGTTTTTAAAAGTTAATTTACCGAAACAATTCATTTCGTTTTTCATTAATATTTTATTAAGATAAATGTTGACTGATTTTTTGTGTGCTTTTTAATATAATATTATAGATAGTTTCGTTTTTACCCATTAAATATATATAATCAACATTGGTATATGTTAATGATATGTGGTCAGTTGCGCCCTATGTTGTAAATTAGACTTTTATTGCACTTGAATTTAACGCAATGATACTCATTGGTGTTGCCATGTGTTGAATGGTTAGAGAGTCCATTTGTTATTGTAATTTTGTTTGTCTATGGGCGTGACTGCTTGTTGTTAGTCAATATATTTGTAATGAACGAGAACGCATACTTGTTTTAGCGCCCAAATTTAATTAACAATACTGCTATTGATACAATTCTGTGAGGAAATGCATCAAATAAAAGCTTTTTGACTTTTCTTAACTTTGGGCATTTCTTTTTCAAACCGAAAAGTTTTATTATCCCGGCGCGATTGTATCGGTCAGCTATGAAATAAATTTGAACAATCATTTTGGTTTCGAATTTTTAAGACTCGCGGAACGTCGTCGAATATATTGATGGAGAGTTGGTTTATCGTGTTTGATTCTCTCTAGTTTATGTATGTTTGCTTTTTTTTATTGTAATTGACCTATTGAGTAATAATTACGAGCATTTATTTATTCTATGTAAATTAATGTATTAAAATCATGATGTAATATTGGTAAATAAACTTAATAAAACTACAGTGTGTTGTTGATTACTTTATCATAAACTGCTATTGCTGTTATCTTACAGCGACGTTTATTGAAAATAAAGAAATTTTAAATTCGCCAGCGGCATGACAACTAGTAAAAGTAAAGTAACATCGTATATTTGCCCCACTGTTGGGCACAGGCCACCTTTTTATTCACAGAGATTATTGGGGCGTGAGAACCCCGCGAGCCCATTGCGGATTGATAAGACAGCACTTATACTAGCAACTACCAATTTCTTTGGTGCCGACATCGGTTGTTCGAGTATACTAAGTTAAAAGCATGCGCCTGGACGCTGAGCTGTAACGCCTAGTGGTTACGTGATTTTTATATAACAGAGTTCCTATGACCACCTTGCAGCTCCATCATCAGAACCTGGTTACCATTGAGAGACAAACTTAACGTCGAGACCATTGAAATGAGCTCAAACTCGGTGAGGTATGTCGTTTCATTGCGAAGTGCCTTTGGCCACCTTCCAGCTCCATCATCAGATCAGCACCTTAGTGTTGCATTGTCACGCGATTTACTCATGTACATACATATGACCGCAGAGTTTCTTGCCGGTTCTTCTCTTGCAAGTCTAGTTTAATGAACCGGTGGTAGTTTTTGATGTTAAATAAGAGGTTTAAATGAGCCAATGTGGAATAAAGAAATTTTGACTTTGAAAACAAATGCAAATAACTAAAAGCTTGTAAATATGTTCATAAAATCAGAACTACTGGGCCAAACTATGTTGAATTTTTATGGCACCAAATAGCAACTATTCTGCATCAAACTAAAGAGGAATAACGTAAATTGGATCATAAATCTCAGCGTAGTCGGGGTACATACATTGAAAAAAAATATACCAATCGAATTAAAAATCTCCTTTTGAAATCGGTTAACAAAAAATTAGTGTGTAAAGCACACTATTTTTTTTGCCAAGACCACCCTTCTGGAGTAAAACTTCTTTAGCTCCATCTATATGTAATTTCTACCTCCATCTGTATGAATTTACAATTTTATTCACTTAAAGCATAGAATATTTAATGTATTGAACACAAGTCAATTTTTAACCGACTTCAAAAGGAGGAGGTTCTCAATTTTTTTATGTTTGTTACCTCAAAACTTTTATTATATTTATGTGGGACCACATGGAAACACCAGATTTTAAATGAAAAAAGAATCATCAAAATCGGTTCACTCAGTCAAAAGTTTCGAGGTAACAAACATAAAAAAAATACAGTCGGACTGAGAACCTTTTCCTTTTTTGAAGTCGGTTAAAAATATTAATTTATAAAATTGTTCAAGAACGAAATGAAATTACGAAATAATCAAGAAACTACCGTTCGCGTAGCTAGCTAGCAGAATTGAAAACGAACTACTCACTAAGATATATTTCATACACTGGCTATGAGAGGAATAGAGAAAGAAAATGTGTGCTCGCACCTCTCTCTCATGCCCCTACAGTAATATACAAAACGTAACTCTCTCTCTCTCTCTTTCTATCATCGTTAACTTATATCTTTTTCTCAACTTCCGTTCGTCTCGCCCGATCACACTTTTCGTAACACGTCATGCATTCACCAGCCAGTATATATATGTATATATATTTCAGTTTATATATGTCTTATCTATGTTCACCAGCATCAGCTTACTCCGCAATATGGAGGGTAGAAGTATACATATATGGTACAAGTATACATACTCCGCAAGTCAAGCGTGCGTAGTTTTACTTCAAAAAGTATGCAGAATGCTTATTATTCAGAATAAATAATAATATCCCTTTTTATATATAATAGTTACTCTTCATGTAAGTTTCTATATTAATACTTATGATACCACAATATATAAATAAATAAATAAGTAAATATTATTTTACCCATTACTGTAATTAATTGGAATTACGTACTTAAATAACTTAATCATTCATACGACTGTACTACAGATTAAATATTTTTTGTTGTATGTAGAACATGTAAATCACCTATACAGAATAAAAACTCAAGTTATTGCAATCTGTGTTGCAGAATAGACAACGTATCGTGAGTTTGCCGATGAAATGAAATGAAAGTCCGCCTTCCGCCACATGTCCGCCATATCTACTACATTTTCTTTCTAATAGTGACGTCCGTATTATTTTTTATTAAATAGAACAGTTGTATAGACATTTGTTTTTAATTTAATTACTCTTGAGTTTGTTCCTAATACGGTGAGTTAAAAGTGTTCGAAGAATATATTGTATTTTTAGAATTTTTCGTTAATTTTAACGCCGCTACATGATTGTTATAATGTCACATAAAAATTATGTTACTAATTGTTTTAAAGTGAACTATACGCACCGTTTCGGCACTGTTTGTTTAACATCATGTAGGAGGATAACCGGATATATAGTGTTAGCAACTCAATAAAGAAGAAGTTTTCTGTATTTAATTTTCCAGGCCCTGGACGGCTGATAACACCATGGAGTCTCCTAGAAAATTTAACGATTGTTATTTTTACTACTATTCTACATGTATCAAGGTGCGTTGTGTTTTATTTATCATATTATTCTTGTTATCTAACCAATACAAATGTCAATTTTTTTTTATTGTTGTGGTTATAAGGTAATTTTCTATAATTTTGCGACTACAGAACTACGAGTGAAAGGTGTTTATATGCATATTTTTACACTAAATTACTACCTATGTTGAACAATATTTTTGGTGTGAATTTTTGTTTATAGGTTGATTGAATTTTGATGTTACAAACATCAACAATTATATTTGATACTCATATGTTGACATTCCGAAATTTTTAGAATTTTATTATATTTTTTGAATTAGGTTTCTTGGAAAAGTGTTTACAAGCTGTTGCCAATATATTTCAGGGTGACAACTGTGTATTCCGTCACGAGCCAACAGCACTTGGGTGTGAAACAATGTGTACTGCATGGCAGCAGGGCAAATGCCTGGACAAGCGTTGTAAGCTTCGCCACATGGAGCTGCGGGTGTGTATCATATGACTTTCTAAAATATTTCTATCAGAAAAGTAAATGTCCTATATGTTAAAATATAAATGTGATAAGTTTCAACTGACTAATACATGAATTATATTATTTATTGCTTTTTGTCATTGAGGAAAATAAACAACTAGTGTACATGTCATATAGGGATTCCCCTGTTCCCTCTATCTCTCTTATTTATGACACACACATATGAAATGTCTAAAAAGTTTCCTTTAAAAAACCAAAACTGTTTAAACTGGTGTCAAAAAATTGTTTAAAGTTCAGAGCTGGGTTTCCCAAACAATTTATTAAATGAAGCACCATAAATTGGTTTGGATCACCTATAAAACTAAGAATTTTGTAAAGAGATATACAATGTAATTATAATTATAATATTGATTGATCTATGGTATAAACTATTTATGGTCCTCAGAAATTAATTGCTCCTTAGATTAGTTTCAAAAACTGTTATTAAAGGCTGTAGTTGAATTTCTATTACAAATTTATATGTATCATAAATTAAAAATTTCTAATCTGAATTATTCAGCACAAAACTTAATCTTTTTTAACCTGATCTTGATAACGTCAAGGTTACAAGATTGTTGTATGTGCTAAATAATAAAGTCCCTAATCTATTATATAATCTATTTATTTTACAATTTGCAGAAAAACCGCAAGCAAATTCCATGTTACTGGGAGAATCAGCCTGGTGGTTGTCGCAAGAAGCATTGCCCATTTATGCACAAGAATCCTGATGCCCGTACTGATGGCATTGCACCAAGTCAGCCTGCACCTCTCGTTGTTGTATGTAGTGGCTCTGTTAGAAAATCTATTTTTAGAAACATACTTCAGTGTAAATCTTGTCTTAAAGTGTAGTACACTAGTTATTTATCATGTTATCGCACACAAATTTTAATGTTACACATTCAACAAAGTTAACTCCAAAATAATCTTTATTGAATCATTTCATTCAGATTCAATAAAGATTATTTTGGAGATAGTTTGTAATTTAAGTTCTCTTCAAAATTTAAATACATAACTAAGTCAGTGTTACTGATTTATTTTATGTATGGATTTTCAACATGAAGTACATCAACATATAAACTTCCATTATTATTATCTTTTGTAGTAATATACTATAATGATATATATATTACCTTTATAGGCTACACCTGCCGTGGCTGAAAACTCCATTGAGCAGCCAACATTGAACTCTGGTGTGGCCCCACCTGTAGCGGCACCAGCCCCAGTACCTTTGCTTTGGCAACAGCAGCGACAAGGTAACTTTTGTTCATAATTACTATGTACACCTTGTAATCTAAAAAACAGATAATTTTTTTAAATTTTGTGTGTTCATTTGTAATATGTATATTTCATAAACTACTAAACAGATATATTGTTTTACAAAACATGCCGCAGTACCCCCTATGGGATATTTATAAATATTCTATAGTTATTTATAAATTCAGCATAAATGGCAATTAAATTGACATGTTCTAAGTCTAAGACAAATCATGTATAATACCAAGATTTGTTATTTACAGAATTTAAATTTTGTTTTGGTTCTTATGCATATTATAACATAATTATGCATATTTTGGGTGGACACAGTAGTTCATATATATCATATGAAGCGATTTTTACTCTGCATTCCTATGAACCATTGACTGGGAACATCAACATTCTACTTGAGGTTCCAGGTTTAATCTTAATGGCATATCCAATGACTTTATCACCAATATCAAACTATTGTAAAACACCTTCTTTCATGCAAAAATTTGTCACATTTATGTCATATTATATGTTTTATTTTGGACTAAAAGTAGTGCTAGCATGAAATATCTTTAACATTAGAAGTAATGACTGATAGGAAAAACAGGCAAATCAAAGTTGTTTAAGCATGCACAAGGATTTGTTTCATGTGAGAAAGTGGCAATGAGCTGGCGGTTCACTTGATGTTAAGTGGTTACTGCCGCCTATAGACATTTGCATTACCCATAGGGTTTGCGAATGCGTTGCCACCTTTAAATAAAGTGGGCACCGGCTACCTCACTCACCAGACAAAACGCAAAAGTGTAATATTTCTACTTTACGCCAGTCTTCTGTGAGGTTGTGGTACTTACTTGGACAGACCTGCCCATTTGTGTAACAGTGAATTACCTGGACAGTCCTACTATTCTATTACAAACTTAATAATTAAAATCATTTACAGTGGTCTTAGATTCTGCAATACTTGGGGTGCTGCCTGCTTCAAGTGACTTGCTAGGAGCCCGGCGAGTTCTGCCGCCCCACGCCCACGCCCACGCTCACCCTCACCCCCACGAAGCGCCAAACCCATACGCACCACTGCCAGTCGACCCTCTGGTGGTTAACTTCGAGGAAGGTATGCGTCTCTACTGAAACTACATGTACTAAGCCCCATTTCAGCAGTTTTGGAACTCTGGCCTTTACTACTGGTATTGTATAACCAGGGTAAATCGAACAATGTGAATAATTGTTGGGTAATTACTTTCCAGCAATTTTAGTAATGGAGTATTTATTATGTCATTGACATTTAATTACTGTTTCTTTTCAAATTTAATGTGAATTCCTTAATTTTTTCATTGTAGTATAATTAGTAATTGGCTCAAATGAAAATGATCTAAATTATGGCCATCCATAAAGGAAATCCTGGAATTTTTTTTCCTTCCTTTTTTTAAGGTTTCTCACATGTAAAAGTTATATACATGTATACAATAACTAATATAATTTGGTTTTCTTCAATACATCAGGAAACTAATTTAAAGGTGTCAATTTTACCCATAATTCCATGTTATGTTTGAGATTTTTTATATATTTTTATTTTATAGAACTAGAATTGTTCAATGGACTTGGAAATCTAACATTAAATTGTATTTAATAATGTTCACATTGGGTTCCATAAACTGCTTGGGTGCTTAAGGTACTTACGCTGAAATGTTAATTTTTAAAACACTGAAGTATGTTTATATTCCCTATGCAGTAGACATATAACTTATAAGGGACATATACTTTTGAAGGTTTTAAAAATAATCAGCGAAGTAATATAAAGAAGTAGAGACATTATTGAGTTATCACCCTTCTCTCAATGCTTCGTAAGTATTACATTGAAGTGGAAGCAAGCAATAAAAAAAATAGTAAAATAATACAATGTGATGAATATTCTTAAGCAATTCCATATGAATTGATATAAAGACAAAATTGGGCAAGTTGACAACTCATATGTTCTCTTCTTACGAGCGATATGTGTAGGGTTAAGAATTAATGATGTTTAAATTTTCGAACGCTCACTTAATATTATAATAAAGTAACACTTTGCTTTATGGATATAAACTCGACAAAGTTAGTGGCACTAATTGCGCATTAGATTCTGTCTATAATGTTTAAAGTAATTCACATTATCCAATATATGTTTTCTTGACAGAGTTTAATTGCCTAATTTTCGATTGTGCCAATATGTGAAGCCCCCATTGATGAACTGTTCATAATGGGCTATATTAGTATGTTAGTTTTTAAAGCAATATTTATTTTGTTTTTATCATAGACACTAAGATTGTTTTATTTACCTTAGCGTCTGTTCATAAACTGGGAAGCTTATGTTATCTGTAGCAGTCTAATAGTTTACTTTATATTTAAAGTGTATAGTTTTCTTTTCACTTCCTGGTTTGTGAGGGCACAACACCTCATGGATTTCATTATATTGTAACTTAATTATACTTCTTTTTATTGATTGGTAGTCAATTGTAGTCTTTATGAGTGTTTTTTGGGATCAGTTCCGTGTTTGGCGATTCACATTTTGTTTCGGCTAGTGTGCATGCATTTTTCATCTTGATTCTTATTATAATAAAGGATGCATGAAAGTACGATACTTTTTCCACTTATTTCATACATCGAACGGAATTTGAACACCCATCAAACATTTGATAATGACATTTTTAATTTATTACACTTATTTAATTCATTGTCAGAAGGGGCAGCATTTTCTTTTGATTACAACTTGCATAGACAATGTTTATGTTTTTAAATGTAATATGCAATATTTGGAGGGTATTCAACAAAGAGCTTTAGCTCTCACAATCCTGACTTGAGAGGATTTAGTAACGTCGAGTCGTATTTTTGTATGTGCAATAAATAAATTATAGAATATAACCTTCTTCATATCTTAGCTAATTAGATCTATAAATATCTTTCGCTTTTTTCATATAAGGTTATATAGTGATAAATATAGCGTCATGCAGTCTATTTTTAATTTGTGTTGATGTGACTGCCAATGTTCTTCGGAAATACGACTGTGCTAGATATTTGTTTTTATAGATGTTGATATAATCCTTGTCTATGATAGAAAAGTACATAATGAATAGGTTAAATAATATATGAAAATACAAATAAAAATATATATACACAATTTATGTAACTCATTACTTATAAGAAGAGGAAAAAAAAAGAAAAAAAAAAGCTTTATGCCTTTAAATTGTTTGTATGTTAGTGAGTAGGAAGGGGGCTTAGCAGCAGTATATTAAGGTATCCATTGCTAATGGGCCCCATCTACTTAGTATTCGCACTGTGAGGTAGTTAGACAAAGAAGTGGAAAATGCTAGATATTAAATTGTATAGCACAGCCCTGCAATCCAATGACTGAATTTGTACTGGCATCAACAGATTAAATGTTTTACCTTGTGTATTATTACCTGTGCTCTCTATTAAATATATGGAAAACATGTTGTGCTTAATATAGTATTACCAACATAGAGAAAAAGAAAAATAAAAAAAAAATCTGCAACTGCGATTGCTTTGCGGTTCAAGGTAATACAATCATGCTTCCAAATAACATTATTCATGAATAGCACTTTGATATAGGTCGTGATTAGATTGTAATGTTCTTTCAGTTGAAAACCGGTACTAAATTGTTTTGTTTTCTTTTATATACTTTACACTGAGAGAAAAGTTCCTATATTAATAAAATTACAGAATGAAAACAGCAAAAAGGGAAACTTGATATTTTAAATTTGTTTAGGGTCCATTTGTATGGCTAGTCATTATTTATGTACTAATATTTTAAAGTGAACGAAGCAAAAAAAAAAATACACTCGACCGGGGTAGTAGTGTTAGATTAAAAAAAATACTTTTTACCTCATTGTTAACACATTTTCTGCTGTCAAATGTCTTTGACTAAATAAAATATGAAATTGAAAGATTGCTATCTGAATGCATTAAGCAAACTGATTTGTTAAACATGTATTGTTGTAGAAATATTGTTTTTTTGTATGCAGTGTTAATTTTTTTTGATTGGTTTCGCTCATACCTGTACTAATTATTTTTTACCCGAGTGTCAGGTATTCTTAGAGTAGGTTACCTGTCAGGCCAAAAGCGACTGTAGCACTCACTTTATGCCTTATTCTAACAGTCGCATAAGTTATACTAATCGATATTATTATATTGTTCATTGTTTCGTGAAAGGAGAATGGTTTTTGTAGTAATGGAGACCTGTCTTCGGAACGAAGATCTCTTCGTCGTCGGATGAAGTTGCATCTGTAGAAGTTTTATACTTACAATGTATTCTGTGGAATGGAGGTTTTATTTTGTTGGAACCCAAAATGAGGAGTGCCACAATGAGCATGGGATGGGATGTGTACCTTGAAGAAATGAAAAGTGTAATCCAAAGGTTTCTCCACATCTCTCTTCCATTGATGTGCTAATTCCATAAGACAGATGTGAAGAAATTCGTGCGATGGGTGACAATTGATTTTTGTACCACCCTGAAGCATCTTGTTCAAGTAATACGGGGTTGTTATTTTGTTAATTTAATCTTAGTACTGCGTTCATTTAGATTATTTCAAACAGCATACATTGAAATGTTGCGTTGTGTGTCAGACCGTTTCATTTAAGCTAGCTAAATAAATGATATAGGAACTGGTATTGGACGTGAGTAAACACATGTACTTTGGCTTTTGGTTTTTTTCAATACGAATTGTGTTTAATTTATCGAACGAGTAAATAAAAGATGTTTCGCAATATGATTTTTGTAATTATTTTTGACCGCCCCCAAACCCGCGTCGCTTTCAGAACGTACGGCACTCGCAAGAACACCGCTAGCCACTAATTTCACGGGTCGTCATCAAAACTAATTACGAAAATCATGCGCGCGTGCGGCGTCTGAGCGGTTGCTACGCGTGTTCTTGCAGAGTCGGACAGCGAAAGCGCACCGTCCTCCACGCCCACGAAGACCGTGTCGTCGGACGACGCGCAGAAGATCGCGCGCACCAAGTCCCAGGAGTTGCTGCTGCTGGAGAGGATCCAAGCGGAGGCGGCCGCGTTCTACAGCTACGAAGCGCCCGCCCCCGAGCAGCCCAGCGAGCGGAAGATTGTCCGGACCAACCTCGCCACGAAGTACGACCGGCTGTCGCTCGACGAGATCGCAGGTAAGAAGCAGACAACCGAAGCCCGCTCCCTCGACTTCAAAGTGCTCTCGTTGGACGAGATCAGGGCGAAGAAGAATCTAAGCGAGGCGAACGCGCACGCCCCACCGATAACTCTCAACCTGAGCAGGAAGCGGAAACTCTCCACGCAGGAGATCAACACGACGACCGGCAAGAAGATCATCAAAGTGGTGCGGAGCAACTCGATAGTGTACAAGAAGTTGGAAAAGGGCGCACCGGCACAGACCGGCCAAGCCAGGAGGGAGAAGCGCAGCGAAAGCGTTAGTAGGAAGCGGACCCTCTCCGAGCTGAGCGACATCTGCGACGTGCAAGAGGACGAGCTGGTGGACAATTGTCACGAATTCAAGAGGATAAAGATCGGCGAGCAGACGTCGAAGCCCATACTGATCAGGAACAGGCACACGAGCACTTGCACGACGACCAGCGAGACCAACGACGAACAGAACGACTGCGGCAGCAGAGCCGAAAACGACCAAGATTCGGACGTGGAGGTGCAGTTCGTCAGCATCCACATATCGGAGGGGGCCGGCGTGGACGAGCCGACCGGGGGCGAGGTGATCGACCTGGACTCCGCGAAAATGGGCGAGCCGATAGACATTGTGGATTTGTGCGAGGACGCTGAGGGGAGCGACGATATTGCCGTCACCGATCTAGTTAAAAACGTCCCCGACGTCGTAGCCAGCTGCCAGATGAATATTGGCAACGATTGCGGCGAGAAGGACATCCTCAATGACATTGACGCGCTTCTGGATGACGACTTATGATCATTGAGGACGTTACTCGTAATGATGACATTGATCGTACAAATTTTCAGGTAGTTTTGTGTGTGACTAATGTTAGAGTAATATACGAGATATATCTTTTGTAAAAGTTTGTGGATACTGTTGCGTTTGTTGGACCATTTAAGAAGTCTCTTTAAAGTAGCTTGTTCTTTTTAAGTAGATGATGAGAATTAGATATTGGGTCTTGTTTAGGTTAGTATTTTTTGAAAATAATATACTTATTGTAGATCTTAGTTTATTATCACGAAGTAAGGGTTTAAGTGTTCAAAAGATTTTGCATTTTACTAGAAATATTGAATAATTGTTATTGTATAAAATAATTAAAAAAGAATTATTATTCAAATAATACTAAAGCGATGAAGCAAACAGAAACTATGAGCAATACTATTGAAGTTCAATTATTGACTAGGGTGATATTATAGTATTTGAAAGATTTAAAAAATATTAGACAAATTTTACTAAAGATTTTTAATTATTAATTACTAAAGATTTATAAGAAAAAACATTTGACACTTATTACGTTGATAATTCTGTTACTAACAAATTATGGTATGCCTATTTTATAGCAAATATTCTAGGCATATTGCAACAAAATGTTCAAAGCTTTAATTAATATAATATGATGATAGAATTGTGGTTTTAAATTTTTAAAAATATTCTTTTAGGTAAAACTCTTTTCCCCGTGTTTTTCATCTTTATAAAATTAAAAAATACAGCTGGTGTTGGAATCTGTCCATTCGGTACCATAGCTATGAATATATCACGGTTCGGTCAGAAAATAATACATATCAATATGTGGAGTTATAAGGTTGGATGGTTGGAGAATATATAAAATATCTAGGTGGTCTAAACCGGTAAAGTAGTGATGGTGTTCGAAATAAAACGCATCCAATCTTTTGATCCAAAAATGTGTTATATAATGTAATTTATTAAAACGTCACTTTTGACATCACACAGTTATTCACATGTTATTTTTTTAAGTATTACATCTACCTATACAGTTTACATCTAATGTTAATAAATTCGAAATTAATATCCTATGTAATTGAAACATTTGACGGTGGTGAATTGCATAATTAATACAACATGCATTTAATTAACGTGCATAACAACATAAAATACATCTAAATACATTACAGTACAAATGACATTTCTTTACTGTATGAAGTCAACTTTACATAGGTTTTTAATTTAGTCGCCGGAAAAATCACATAGTGAACGTAAAATGAACATGAGAAAAAACGATAGTAATTTGTTTAACATTTTATTGTTATAATAAAGTTACTTTTGAAATCGTATGTAGTAGTAGTACCATTGGAGAATGAGGTTCATATTTTTTTATAATCAGCAACACCCATTTATTTGTCACTGGTTTTCAGTTAATGAAACAATATTTTATACAGATTAATGCAATAACAGTTAAACGAGTACAGATACTAGAATTAACTTACATGTAAAGATTTTATTAAAAGCTCCGTTTTTTACTTTTTCACATTTTGAGACGGATTGCCCATTAGTAGTGTGCCAATTAAAAAGCATAACTGTTACAAGAATGTTGCAAAATAAATAAGTTTGGGACGTAAATCCATCTAGCACAGCCACCATTAATCCCAGCTGCGTATCAAAATGACATGTCATTACATGTGTATTTAAATACATATATTGTAATGTTTGGGAATTAATGTAAGCGTCTCTTAAAACTTACGTTTCTACCGCCCATTGATCCTTCCTTATTGTATTTTACACAGCAATTAAGAAGCATATTGCGTAGATCTCAAAAGCATTTTTATAACTTTGTGAGATTTTTTGTTGTTTTCATTGACATAATTTTATCGGTAATATACAATTTATTCGAGTAGGTCAAATACATCGACTTAGACTCGACAGTTTATAGTAGGCTTATAATATTTACATTACTAACATATACAGAATTATTTATCTATGGTTTAAAATGTAGTTACAATATCTAAGCGCTAAAAACTATTACATTATTTGGAATAAATTAAAAATAACACTTACTAGTTAAACATCAAAATATTTCATTCAAAACACAGACTTTCACGAGATGTAAACAACGTTGTAATCATTTCTTACAGTTTTTTGTTAATCTAATAAATTTTACACTGCATTTTCGTACAGGTAAACAGTTTAATAAATACAATAGTGTTTATTAAAAGTAGTAGTAACAACTAATCTTAAGAACTATATTTGAATGAAATAGTTTAATTTTCATTAAAGATAATTTGAGCCTGTACTTTGTGCTCTGTTTGCTTTTGTGTTGGATATGTTATTCCTTAACACTACGAAGACAAAATAAGCTTTCAAAACTAGCAGATAAAGAATAAAGGCCTGCGTATGTTTGTGCTTTATTAGCCAATTTAAACCTGCTTACATATTTAGTTTATTAAAGGTTAGGTAAAGAAATTGTTACAGTGTATGTAACTGTTTCAATCACCCTTTTAAAGGTGTTTCAAGAGATAAGAAGGTGCTTGAATGGATTTGTAAAGAAATATATTAATTTAATATGCAAGGATTGCACATGAACGTAGATGAAACAGAAAAATGAAATATTCTAGGAGCATTTTATAGACCGAAGGGCAAAGAGCCGATTTGAGACAGAAAATTATCGATTTATAGAGACATACATTGAATGGTTTAGTATACGATGTGCGTATTAATGTACATTGCCGTCTAGTGCCACCAAGGTCACTGTAGGCGCGACCAGTACTGCGCGTCGTGACCTGGAACGGCCAATGGTACGGAGACGCCTGCACCCAGGAGACCCCCAAGCTCTGTGGACAGATAATGAAATAAATAAATAATTTTCGACATATTTATACAGAACGTTATGTAGTTTCAAACGAAACCAAGCTTGTACTATCCAGGCAACTAACAAACATACTTAAACGTACTTTTCTTTTGTAAATAAATAACAAATTGAAATATAGATACCCTGATACTAGAAAAACGCTTCATCAAACAATGTCTTTCCAGTAGTGAGGATTGAATCCATACTCTTACGCAAGATATAGGGTTACTATCCACTACGCCAATTGGATCGTCAAAAATATAATCCGCATTGATGTGATCGTTTCACTGTGAAGGCTTAAGGGAATGGATGGTCAAGTAACTCTTATGCCCGGTTTCTGAAACTGACCATCGTAGATGTCAACTAAACAACTTTTTTCTACATATTTTAAACTAAACAACTGTCAAATGGCTTTTCAAATTTAATTTTAGTTGCCAAAAGGATGGTTAAACTCTTTGAATTGATCATTCTGATCAATAAGATCATTCTGATCAATTCAGAGAGTTTAACCTTTTTTTTAGAAACGAAAATTAAATTTGAAAAGCCATTTGATAGCTATTTAGTTGACATCTATGATGATCAGTGTCTCACAAACCGGGCGTTAGTGTTCTTATACTTTGACTGTAATTAAAAATTGCTTTTAAAAGAAATACATTTATGGACATTACAGAAATACATTTATGCCTTTATCAGAAATACATTTATCTACAAATTGTGTGGGTACTTTCGGTTATATATATTTTGAATATATAGGGTCGCAGTTTCTTTCAGTTCAAAATGCCAATGAAACACTAGAACAATATTACTTCCGACCTTGGTATGAACCCGAAATTAACTTTATTTACGTGAGAAGGTGGCAATCGACCTGACATCAAGTGAAAACCGCCGCCCACGGACATTGCAGGTGCGTTACCACCTTAAAAATGGGTTACCTCGCTACCTCGCTTACTAGACGAAACGTAAAAGTAAAACACTAGACGAAACGCAGAAGTAAAAAACTACTTGACGCCGGTCTTCTGTGAGGTCGCGGTACTTCCCGGACTGTTGCGTGTCCCTAGCGCCGTACAAACGCAACTCGATTAGAACTGGGAAATGTTCATTTTACCGGGTGCAGGGGACGCTGGCTCGTGCTGGTAGTTGTGGTTGACGTAGGCGTGGGGCGCTCTGTAGCCGAGCTCGTAGCGGGGGTATCCCGCGAAGCCTCCTTTGCAAAGCTCCGCCTCGCCGCTCTCGCACAGCGGCGCCTCCGAAATGCCGCCCCCGTAGCCCATTGGCGTTAGCGCACTGCAAAAACGTTGGATGCGGTGTAATGGAAGAAATGTTGTGCATTCAAATTTGGAGAGAAATTCACGAAAAGTTTTCCGCCGCTGCGGGTTGCTACACTGACATTTGGCTTATAGGTTAAAGCGGGCGCGAATCCGGCAGACGTGGGTTCGATTCCCGAAGCGGCTGAAAAACTTTTCTATAAGATTTAACGTTTCATCTTGAGTGCAGAGATTGGGAACTATAGAATTTATAATGTTAGGTGTATATTTTAGGATTAATTTTTGTTTTTCGTGCTAGTCTCGGCACTCGTGGTGAAACATAGTTGTGATTTTTTGTTGATAAATGAATGAAAGATTTCGGCGCTGCGGGTTTCGAACCTGCGTCTTCTGGGTAACGCGTCCAGATACCTTACCAATTAAGATGGTGGCCGATGACTGCGCGAAAATCTCGACATCTATCTTCGTTCTTTAGTGCATTTAACAACGCTTGGCGCCTGATTTCTAGTATGATACTTTCTAAAGTATTATAAGGGTAGCGATTGATATTTACATGTGGATTTCACATAATTTTGGTTATTTATGTCAAAATTGGCAAGCAAGCAGGCGGTTCACCTGATGTAAAATGACTACCGCCGCCGATGGACATCAACAATACCTTAGAATTAGCTTATGCTTCGCCTCTTAAAAAATGACTTTTAACGATGGTAGAGCCACACAGCAGCTCGGCTGTTATACGAATGGGCAGGCTCGTCCGGGAAAGTACCATGAACTCACAGAAGACCGGCGTAAAGTGGAAGTACGACAAATACTTTCGCGTTTCGTCTGGTGAGTGAGGTAGCCGGAGTCCAATTTCCAAAAAGGTTGTCAACGCATCTGCAAACCCTCTGGTGTAGCAGATGTGGGCGGCGGTATTCACTTAAAATCAGGTGAACCGTCTGTTCGTTTGGCAACTTTTCACATAAAAAAATGGCTTATAATAAAAATAATGGTTTCTAATTTTGTGACATATAAAGAATATGAATGTGATAGCTGTGTCCGGACGCTTTTAATTCAATACACTCGAGCAACCCGAGTGCCGGCACCAACGGATTTGTTAATTTTAAGTGCTGACTTATCCCGCTCTCGACGGTGAAGGATAACATTGCTAGGAAACCTGCATATTTTCGAGATAATAACAAAAAATATTTCGAAGACATGTGAAGTCTGCCAATCCGCAATGAGGTTGCGTGGACTATGCCCCAATACTCTATACGGAGGAGGCTGTTACCCAGCCGTGGGACATATATAGGCTTACTTATTGGCTTGTAGCGAGCCTATTAGGTTTTGCCGAAGCGTTCCTTAGATGATACTGCTCACCTGTAGCTCTCGACGTTCAGCGGCGGCTGGTAGGTGGGGTGCGGCGGCTGCGCCGGGTGTGTTGGGTGCGCGGGGTGCGGGGCGTGGGGGGGGCGGCGCGTGCGTCTGGGCGGCGAACGCGCACTCGGGGCTGCGCCGCTGGCTGCGGATCTTCTCCTCGCGCCGCCACTTCGCGCGCCGATTCGAGAACCACACCTTGAGGTCGGCGAAGGTTAAAGGGACGCGCGTGATTCGCGCGCTCGGCGGCGCCGCCTCAGCGCTCGCTCATCGGATCGCGGGTTCGTTTTCGGAACGACTCTTAGGAACTGTCGCGTCCGCTCTGGCGACGGGATCCTCCCGCGCGCTTTAGCGCTCGCTCGGATCGCGCGTTCGTTTTTGGAACGGCTCTCGTTCTAGCAACTGTCGCGTCCGCTTTGGCGATGGGATCCTTCCGCGGTGGGGCCATGCAACAGTTACCCGTTGCACGAACGGGCAGGTCCGCACGGGTACCACGACCCTATAGTAGACCAGCATGAAGTGGCAGTGTTATACTTCTGCGTTTCATCTGGTGAGTGAGCTTGCCGGGGCCCAATGTATTGAAAGGTGGCAACGCATCTGCAACCCTGCGGGTGTTGCAAATGTCCATGGGTGGCGGTTATCTTTTAACATCAGGTGACCCGCCAGCTTGTTTGCCACTTTTTCACATAAAATATAAATATATGTTTTCAACATAATAAAATAATAAATAATAAGATAACGTGTGTGCACAATTCATATCTTCTATTATATATTTCCATGTGATATTTATATTGATAAAAGCACCTTACAAAAAACGAATTCACCCACTAGACGAAACGCAAACGTACGAATGCTATACTCGTTCAACTTCACGCCGGTCTTTTGTGAGGTCGTAGTACTTACCCGAACGGACCTGCCCATTCGTGCAACAGCGAACACTGGGATCAAACATATATTAAACGCTTTAGACCAGTTCAATCAGTAAAGCTTAATATATATTCCCACGGTCAAATGTGACGAACCCTAATATGAAAAATAGTATACGTTGACATTTTTTGTTGCTTTAAAATTATTTTTAAATAATTTTAAAAGAAGCTCACCTGTATCCTGGCTTCGGGTAAACCAATTTTAGCAGCTAGTCGCTCTCTGGCGAAGACATCCGGATAGTGAGTGCGTTCGAATTCTGAAATTTTTATTACATGAAGTAGGTAATTATAAAGCCGTGATAGTTTAGTGCGGTAACAGTTTTGATGGCTGCAATAACATTTCCAGACTGTTTAGGTTTCTGTTAAAATAACGTTTTATGACAGAATAACATTCAGGCTTATTATTTGATTGTTTATAAAACTACATTTGTTACGGCTGGAATTTGGACGTAAACTGAAAAATATTGTTAATTTATGGAGGACCGGAGCGGAGTGAGTAATTATAAACAAATACAAATACATGTTTGATGGAAGAACATTGAAGGAAATGTGTAAGGAAATATCGTCAACCCTCGAATTTTGAACCCAAAACACACTTATTAGACAAGACAAGAAAAGTAAAAACACATAATTTATTGAGTAATTGTTTTATAAAAAACATGACATCATTGATTGATACCAGTTGCGTTTCAATTTGCGGGTCTTTACATGCGTTCGAGTTGATAACTCTCAAACTTTCGCGGAAAGCGAAACAATGGTGAAACGCGAAAAGAGTCCAAAAAAGTCCCGATCCTAATTTTAAGTTTCGAATCGGCCCACCTCTCTCCAAGCTGTCGATCTGCTCGTTGGTGAAGCTGGTACGGTTGCGCTGAAGCTTCCGTTTGAGGCGCAGCCGCGCAGCGTCGTCGTCAGCCCCACTGGAGCCCGCGTTGGAGTTGTCACCGGAACCCGTTTCGTCGGAGTGCAGACCCTCGAGCCCTTCCAGCGTTTCCTCGCCTGAATATTCACACGCATTACTCACGCTTATATAAATGAGAACAAAGTGTCTGGGATCCATTCTTACTGTGCTAATACTTGCTAATTCTGTCCGCTCCGGTTGATATTGCGAAGCGGTGGTTAATTTTAACTATTGCAAAAGCTCGAAACATGAATAAATCGGATAAATAAATAGAATACACTATTACGCTGTAAGTACGAACAATTTAAATTCGTTTCTCTATGAGTTAGGTAAACTATAAAACTACTGGATCGGTTAGTAGTTTTTAATCAATTTTTTTTTATTTTTGTGATAGCAAACTTCTCGTGATGGCCCACAACAAATGTCTTCGCCAATAAACGCTTTAATGAGCACATCGGACAACATCGGGCCGCCCTGAGAGGAGAAACGCTTTAGCAAACTGACCTACCCGTTGATCACACGGCGCGAAAACCTTGACAACTATGGTTTTTTTTATGTAAAAAGATAGCAAACGAGCTGGCGGTTCACCTGATGTTAAGTGATAACCACCGTCCATTGAAATTTGCAGCACCCATAGGGTTGCAGATGTGTTGCCACCTTTTAATTAAGTTGGCCCCGGCTACCTCACTCACCAGACGAAACGCAAAAGTATAATACTTCCACTACACACCGGTCTTCTGTGAGGTCGTGGCACTTCTCCGGACGGACCTGCCCATTCGTGCAACCAAGGGCGGATCCAGCTTTGGTGCCAGGGGGGGGTCACGTAGTCGTGGTCACGTGATAAGTTATAATTTTATAATCATAGATACAAGTAAAAAGTAGGTATTTTAACCGACTTCAAAAGAAGGAGGTTATCAATTCGGATGTTTATATTTTTTATGTAGGTATGTTCGGGCATAACTTCGTCATAAGACGGATTTGCAAAATTCTTTTTTTGTTTGTAACATTTTGTTCCTTTTTATTATCATATATTATACAGGAGGGCTTTTATAAAGGTGCCCAAATTCACACAGGAGGTTTAGACCCGGTAGTATAATCGTTTATTGAAATAAAAACAAACTATTTAAAAAAATGGCATTCCATTCCCTAAAAAACACAACTTATTGACAATGCGGTAGTCATTCATAAATGCATGGTATACTTTTGAAACGAACTTGTGTGCGTGTTAGTTATGAATGATCGCGCGTAAAATAAATGAGTTGCCCATAAATCACGCACTTTCTGAGATAAGTTCAAATTAATGTAATTAATTAATTACGAGTGATTTTTAAATATTTATCATTTTTTATATAACTTTATTTATTTCTAGAATTTAATAAAAAAAGTACTTAAAAATACTCTTAGAAAAGCCTCCCTGTATAGTATTTTTTTAAGTAGTTATTGGTAGGCTTACTTATTTTTGGAATTTCTTTTTATTTATTTCTTCTTTACCAGATTTTCTGTAGTCGTATTGGTTACAATATTTTCTATTCCTCTACTCCGCACGCTGGCTCCACTTCAATGACAAGTAGCCTAAGACGGGACTATCTGAACACGGGTTAGTAATAATATATAATCAACCCAAATGAATACTCCTAAAATAGCCGCACTCAAAATAAAATTACATCGTCCACGTTAAAAAAATGTTCATAATTAAGTCATCATTCATAATACTCAGCGCTCATCCATCTAATCAAAGACAGAATCCTCATTCATAACAAACAGAACGAACAAACTTTATTTCCCAAAGATAGGGTCGCATACTCACGTCCACTAAACCACCACATCTCACCACCCATCAAAAACGGTCCACCCATTAAGACGAATCAAACTCGACGCAGTTGTGTTCCTTAGTTACTGAGTTCCTATCGCCACATTTCAGCCCTGTCATCAGACCCTGGTTACCATCTAACACCAAAGAACTCGTCACGAATCAAACGAGCCGAGACACAATAGGGTTGCGTCGTTTCTTAACTGAGTTCATATGATCTTCCAGCTCCATCATCAGATCAGACCCTGGTAACCATCTAAAAATTAAGTACTCGCCAAGACGAATCAAACGAGCTAGAAGTCGATGGGGTTGAGTCGTTTCATTACGGAGTGCTCATAGTAACCTCACAGAATAGCCTCATAGACCTCACAGAAGATCGGCGAAAAGTACGAGTATACGTTTTGTCTGGTGAGTGAGGTAGCCGGAGCCCACTTTATTATAAGGAGAAAACGCATCTGCAACCCTATGCATATGTCCATGGACGGCTGAAGATGGAGCACCATCATCAGATCCTGGTTACCAATGAAAGAGAAACTACTCGTCAGTACGATTCAAATGTACCCAAACGCGATGAGGCTTTTTCATTTCATTTCGAAGTTCCATTGGCCTTCTTCCAGCTCCATCATCAGATCAGCACCAGGTCATAAAAATATTGTATTGTCTGTATCGCGATTTACACATGTATACAAAATTCCAGCTCAACCGGTAACCGGGAAGTAGATCAAATTTAATTTGCAAGATTTGATGACAAACATTAAAATATTGTAATGTTCATAAAATGAAAACTACTTGGCCAAACTATGGTAAATTTTTATGTGACCAAATGGCAACTATTCTGCATGAAACTAAAGAAGAATCACAGAAATCGGATCAAATCTCAACGTAATCGGTGTACATACATCGAAAAAAATATACCAATCGAATTGAGAAACTCCTCCTTTTGAAGTCGGTTAAAAATATTACATTAATTAAATTAAATATTGAAGGTACTTACATAAAATCTATATTGTGGAAAAAATATATAAAAACATTATGTTTAATAATTTTAATTGGCGGTCCACCTAGGTCCTGGACCCAGCCCAGGGGGGGTCATGACCCCCATGACACCCCCCCCCCCCCCCCTGGATCCGCCCTTGCGTGCAACAGCGATGACTGTTGCACCAATGAGCAGGTCCGTCGTATTTAGCAATACTTGGCGCCATTTAGTAGATAGAAGTTCCGTTTTTTGAAATTGTAGAATTTATCCATTGAACTCGAATTAAAATAGCATCTTAAGTGCAACTTTGAAAAAAATTTGCAACTTTGAAGTTGGCGCTGGTCTTAGCTAAAACTTATACGAAAACAGAGAAATTTTAAACTAAGTTAAGTATTACATTGGACTCTTACAACTTGGGTAAAATAATACATAGATGAAAAGGAAAGAAGCTTGAAGATTAGTCTTATTATTCTTTGAATTTGGTCAAAGTTATTAAATTAAAGTTAAATTCAGCTGCTTATTGTCTAGTACAAAAATTATTTAGGTGGGATTAAAATTCCTAGAATTTATCTAATGTTCAAAGTAAAAGCTGAAAGATCGGCTTTTCGAAAGCTCACATTTCAAAATACAAAAATAAAAACTTATGTTTTTGGATTTAACTGCATTTAATTTTGTTTCCAGCTTCCAACGTTTTGAATAATTACAGTATTGATGGTTATGTAACAAATATTTTATGTAGCGAAGTGTTAAAAGGAAAAATCGTTTCTGTGTCTATTATTGTAATATTACGTTTACGCGTAGCTGAGTTTGCAGCAGACATCAGAATTCCTATTCGTCTACATGCATCTTAATATAAATCCTTTCTCTCTATTCTCTAGCACCCCTTCTTCAGTAGCTTTTGTTTGTATATGCAACTCCATATACTAACAAAATGTTCAAATAGCATTTAAATAACATAATATGACATTTAATTGTGTAGTAGTGAAGAAACGAATCGGATAACATGAACGTGTACTAAAAACGTACTATGTAACAGCTATACTTGTCCCAAAAACAAATTAAGTGGAGTTAAAGTTAAAACAGTTATATAGCCACTCAATTGATTACAACTTAATAAAGTGGCTTTGCTAAGTTAGAAGGCAATCGTCGGGGATTAAATTAGGTAAATTTGGTTAGGTGCGCACTTTCTGTTGGCACCGCATTATCAGGACACGCCCCGACCCGTTCTTGGTGGTCGGCTCTCTTGTGCTTAGAGGTTTAAAGTTGCTGCTCGTAATTCATCAAGTATTACGCGGCTGAGTTTCACGGTGGGCCCTTTGATTTACCACTACGCGATAAGTTCACGTTAGTTGGACAACGTTGCTCGTTCAACTATAATCCTCAACTGAGCAATGTCGAAAAATGTGTATAGTATATTTCTATTCTTTAAGTGACCATTAAAGATCTCGCAAACTCTGATCTCAGTGTTGTGCCTAAATGACTTTGCAGACTTAGGATATCTAGAAATAACTTTCTTGAATTTGTGCCCTTTTAATGCTCGCCAGTCACGTTAGGGTTAAATAATCTCGATAAAACGTAGAAAAACTGAAAATTTGAATCTAATTTTTTCGTTTGTTACGTTACTTAAGAATAAAATCAATAATTTTTCGAGATTAGAGCTATTTCTAATTTAAATGTTTTTAATAATCAATAAAAACAATGTTTAGGACTGATTTCATAAATTTCTTACTAAAGAATGTCTTACGATTGATAGAGACATGTATCAGAAAAAGTTTTATTGTTAATCTGTGTATTTATTGCCTTATGTCGTGGTTCAATTTATAGATAATATCTATGCAGTTTCTTTTGAAATTTGTTCTTTAAAGCTTTTAAATGTTGATTAAATTCTTGAGGAAGTGCGTTATTCTTAAGTGAGTAGAATGGGAGCGAATTTATCATTTAGAAGATAATCCAAAGATATGGATACAATTCTATAATGAACTAAGTTATGAAACAAAGTATGAAGAACGGCGAGGCTGTGGTAGCACTTCTCCCTAAAAGTTGGCAAAGTAAGCTCAAGTGTAATAATTAATTCCCAAAACAAGCGGTTGATAGCGGCGGGATTTATTCGACTTGTTGCGATAATCATCTTCCTTGTTGTTAGGTAAGCTTTGAGGCTACTTTCAATTCAACAAACAACTGCCAAGTGTATTGTCATTTCTATATTTCTTAATTTCATTTCATCTTTATGAAGTAAAGTAACTAAAATCACTGTCGTTAGGAATGAATGTTTGAGTAAATATAAAAATATTCGACAATTCCGAGTTATGATATGATGTTCTTCTATTCAATACGAGATGGCGCTGTACGCTGCAGTTTTGATGGTTTTTGTTC